TCGTCAATAATAATTGTCGGCAAAACATTTTGACGTTTTATTATTATGTAACATCGATGTAGATTGGGTTTAACCAACCAACAAATACCATTGCTGTTTAAATTGAAATTTTAAATCCAGAAGCAGAGAGGTAACGAGAGAGAAGTTGATCATTTTACTTATGGATCAAGTAAATCGATTCAAAAAATTTGTATCGCTTCACAGGTAACTGCTCATGGTTTGATATGTAAACACTTCACGCGTGGTCTTATTGAACTATATATAATATATCGATAATAATTGTCGGCAAAAAATTTCGACGTTTTATTGCTATGTAACATCGATGTAGGTTGTTATGGTTAAACTATTCATTTATATTGATGACTCGTCGATTACATTGTAATTGGCATCAACACACTGCAAAGACTCAGCTATACAGTAATTCGTGAAAGAAAATCAAAACTACAATTATCGCCTTCTATTTATAATGCATTCTTGTAACTATAACGAGTTGGCGACATTTCATTAAGACGTTACAAATCTGCGATGCCAGTGCCGAGCCGATAAAATTCAATATTTTATTCTAATTAATGGCGGTGACAGTACATTTGAACCCACGTACATTTGAACCCATATGTATATCCGCGGGTTCAATATATATGCGGGTGCTAAAATCCATGGGTTGGGGTTAGTATGGGTTCAAATATCCGCAAAACAGAAAAAATTTCCATAGGTGCGATGGTATGCAGGTTCAATTGTCGTGGGTTCAAATGTACGGGAACCATTATTAACATATATATACCTAGTATCAGCAAACCTCATATAGCTTTTGAATAGGCTTACCATACATATGAAACAAAACATTGGGATAATCTTGTTTCTATTTAGAGGCTTAGCAATACTTTAATTCATATGAATAGTAGCAATGAAAACAGAACCTCACTTTTGGTTATTTTAAATGCTTTAACGTAACGTATATGTTAAATTAAAAACATTATAATAATTATGACGTAACAATAAAGGAGTCCCGTTTATCACTCTGAAGTGAGAGGCAAATCAGTCATAAATTGCTGCTCACGTCGAAAAAATACACGAATTTGTATTAACACAAATATGAAAAATATTTATGACTGCCATATCGCATTAAATGGGACATTCAAGTCTACTGGGCGGGGCGACAGAACAGCTTGCCAAATTCGGGACTGTCCCGGCTAAACCGCGACTTAAGGTAATCATACTCAAGAAGCTTGTGGTCATCCCGTTCTATTCCCAATATCGAAAATGCAAAATTGAACATAAAACAGCACACGAAACCTTCCATATGAAACTGATAATTAATCTTTGTATCAATTAGTACTCATCGCCGTCTTGCTGTGTAACCCTATATATATATAATTTCAACAATTAGTTAATAGGATATATTGATGCCTCAAAAAAAGCTTATCGTTGTCTATCAAGCTTGGAATTTGACGACTGATAAACGCCCAGCAAACCAATCAAGATTTGAAATATTCTGATATTTCAACACACCAATTTCGGAAGAGTGAGCCACGAATCTTGTTATCGACTTATTTCTTTGAGCACTACTCTAACTTCTTTACATATGAGAATACTTGAGATCTATTTAAAATGACTCTCCAAATGCGTAATCTCCTTCTCGTGCCGTCTTTTCCTAACCGTCTGCTGGACCGTCTGCTGATTATCGACCATTGACATATCTACGTAAAATGGCGCTCATGACAAAGTTCGAAAACGCGCCCCTCGGTCGTTGAATGGTAATTTTCAACGACTGTTGTTGAATTGAATTACTTCTACGTTATTGTTTGAGAAATAAATACGAGTTTAAATTATTTACAATTTTGAAGGATTATATTGAAACATTACACGATTAAATTGTTTTTCCATTTTCCGCCCTATCCAAACGGCTCCCATGGCTGTCATACCCTAGATACGTCATTGCTATCGACATGGTATTGTTACCGTCTCACAGAATGACCATTTTTACCAATTCACAGTGAATAAATCGTCAAGTTCAAGTTTTAAAAATGAACTCAATGCGAGCATTAATTTTTATGCCACGCAACGACCATAATTCTTAAAATTAAAACAACAGTTATATATTCGATGTATGGTTATGTAAACCCAATATTATCATTCAAAATGTATTACCAAAGAGCTTTGAACTGGTTATGAAACACGGGCACGAGGTCTATAATATGCACAATTCCTGACCAGATGAATACCTATTTCTCAACTCTGTTTTACCTGCCAGTAATTTTGGCCGCGATATTACATCACCCAAAAACAGTAAATTAGTCCCTATGATAACAGCATTGTATCTGTACCATATTCACTAAAATCAAAATATGTAGCCTATTTCTATCGTTGTTTCATACTGGGTTTAAAAGAGCTTGAGTCAGAGAGTTCTACACTTAAAACCTTGCAGTAAAAGGTAAAAGTTCTTTTTGTTCACTATTTTATTCCCACTTTTGCAATCGGAAGGAATCCTGAAATCTATTAAATATTATTTCACTGGGAGTGGGCAAAAATCTTGATAGGATGAATAAATCTTGATCAAACTGAATTTTAGCTCAACATGTTAGGAAATACTAGGTAAATTTTACGCAATAACTAACTTTATGATTGTAATCGCGCAGTATTCTTTACATATCCACCTAATCACTGTCAGTCATGTTTGTCTAAATTCACTCTATAAATATATACTTCATCGTACACATCAAACACCACGCTGCGATAAACTGGTCAATTTTACCCGGCTAAAGGTTAAAGTGTTTTCACTGAAATTTCCAGCTCTCATAGTTTCTTTTTGATCTTATTCATGTAACATATATTGCAAAGTGACTAAAACGCTAGGAAGTTGCGCAAAACATTTAGATTGCGATTATAAAAAAACAACGCTACTAATTTTGTTCACAAAATTATGTAGCAGAGCTAAAGAATACCGGATGGCCAAACCCGTCATTTTTGATAAGCAATCGGTATTTTGTGTAATCCTCTCTAATGGTATTGATAACGCCATTGTCAGAATGCACTATTAAACAAGAATCGCCAAGGGCAGGCAAGATTTCAGCTGTTATTGTTGTTTACTTTGTCAGACAATATCCACTATCAGAGACAAAATCTCACATAACTGGCAATGCAAAAGCGCTTATTATCATATTGTGAAGGTTTATAAATTTATCCCGGGGGAAAGGAAAACCAATTAATATTCATATATATATAATATGGCAAGCAACGACCTCTCGTCCGGTTACCAGTCAATATCGGGTGCGGGTTTAGTTGGTCAGTCATTTTTTTAGATGCACGAACTTGGTGGCCGAGGAAGTCGTAACCGACCAGTGGTTACGTGAACCACTCTGAGACGACGGGAAGTCCAGTGATCCCATCGCATATGATTATCACCCACATGATTGGCACTTGGCAGAGTAATCAGGCAGGCGTATTCCTAGCACCTAGCGACATGCCCGCCGAACTGAGGGAATCTTTCCGATTCGGTATGTTCTACTCGAACTTGATGCACCGTTGATGAGGTAGTTGACACAAAGTGGAGACAACGCGCAACCTGTATGACATTCATTTGTTTTCTATGAAATTAAGAATCAAACTTTTATTAGTTTAATCCAGCGTTCCTCAAACTTTTTTGGCCACGGAACACTTACGCATTTTATTCCTCCTCGCGAACACCAAAAAATTAAAAAGTAAAATTAATAATAAGAACAATTGGTGTAAGGCAGCGGCCCCCAATAGATGCGCCGCGGCGCACTGAATCGCGAAAACTAACATAATTGTTTTAATTATAACTAAAATATATACAATTGAATATTTCACATATTGCATTTATTATAAATGTTTTATTGTTTCTCATTTTAAATGCTATATATATATATATAAATCAATAAATTCGTTTTATGACGTTTACTTTCTATTATATATAGTGCTCGCCTCTAATGTTACGTAACAATGGAAGGAGTAAGAGATTTTATTATTTCGTCAACCAAAAAATACAGCCATCAATAAAATAGCACTAGCAAATAAAATTGTTTTGGTATGGACAGGAGGGAGCGATACGACCGTACGGTCATCGAAGTCATCTCCCACCATATATATACGCTGATGCGACTAAGATTAACACTGAACGATGACCAGGGGCAAAAATTAAACTATTACAATAATATTTTTACAATAAATTTCTGAATAAAACTAGGGGAATCTTGGGTAAATGAGAAGTACTTACTTCAATTTCACGATCTTCAGTTTGTTTATGAATCGCGCTTATCGAACGAGTGATTTTTTCAGCATTTCAATGTAAAACCAGGCAGAGTTGACCCTTTCTCCCTATTGTTTGTGCCTACGTGTTCGCATATAGCAAAACCAAAATGATCGCTGTAAACTTAATATTGAACTTGAGAGTCAAAAAGGCTAGGCCGACAGTTAACGAAAATACCACTTCTGACATCTTTTCGACGGAACACAGTTTGGGAAACGCTGGTTCAATCAGTACATTAAGATTGTAGCTATATGTTCTAGACACCAACTAGGCGGTTAGTTCACTTAGTCTTAGATGACCATAGTAACCGACACGCATTTGCATAATCATGTGCAACGAGGATGGTCACTTTACGGACCCTGGTCAATTTACGTTACGACCGGTCATTTATGCCCTCCTTCACCAGCCCAGCCTCCTTATTTGGAGTGGAGTGATAAAATTGGCGACCATCATCAATACACGAGGACTGATAACCGGGCAACGTTCACACGATTAAATCATCTTGCCAGCTTCTTTTCGCGCGTGATGTGTCACCACCGCGAGACAAGAGGCTGACAATATGTGTTGAAATACCTTTTTAGTTTAATTCAGTCCGCACCTACCTTTTCAATCATCGTCCACCAGAGAGAAGCAGTGGGTTACTGCGAACCACGTGGCTGATTTTTATGTGCTGCATGACAAAGCCTTGTTCGGTACAGGAACAATTCGATAATTTAGGAAATGATCAGGAATGAAGTGTTCAATATATTTGGCATTTGCGACATAAAATACAGAGAAGAAGACAACGCCAGGTATTTTAACAATCAACAAGACAACGAGTGGTTACTAAACAGGCTTATTTATGCAAATATACAGTTTCCACAGTCTTGACACAGAGGAATTCTAAATGTTGGTAAAATTTGCGGTATATAACGCTTGCTTATGAGCAGGTATTAATTTTACATATTTACATCAACAAGAAAAGGGACATCACAGAGAGAATATAGTATTTGCGAGTTCCACAAGTTACAACTGTAAAACGTACTTGACCAGAAAAAAATCACGTTTGATAACAATCATGAAATCAATAAAATTGTGATTTGATTTAAACACAGATACGATATTAAGTTTTGACTATTGTAACAGTGGCTAAATCGACATTTAGAATTTTTTAATTAGCAGGGACACCATAAATAAGTATTCAATTACCCTATTTCACGGGCCATAAGGCAGCAACGTATTATAAGAAGAAATGCCAATAAATTGCTTAGATTGGGTTTTTATTCATCCATAATAGGGCGCATCGGCCTATAAAACGCAACGATTTTGAAGCAATACCAATGTAGGTAATTGAGCCCAAAGTCTACCTCAGGGGTAGGCAACCTTTCGTCTCTCGCGGGCCAAAATTAGGGGTTGCAAGTCATTGGCGGGCCACACATATTTTTAGAAAGTTGAAGGCCGAACTGATGCTACTTTTTGTAATAAAAATCAAGCAGTGATACATCTCTCGAATAGAATATAGATTTTTTCCCGCATTGCATCCCAAAAAATCCCATTTGAATATTTTCGGCGCCATGAACCCTTTGCGCTCTGCATCAACTTTTGTGCGTTTAGTTGCCATTTGTTTAATTATAATTAAGTATAGGATCATTAAACGTGTAATTGTGAATTTTATACTTGTAAGATTATAACATAATTTAGACTGCACGTGTATCACAATAAATTCTGTTACGTGAATAATATAACTGTCAAAACAGTTGATTTGTTACTATAATTCAGTAAAGCATCGCGGACCGGATTATATTACTCCGCGGGTCGGATCCGGCCCGGAGGTTGCCGACCCCTGGTCTACCTGATACATACATACGGCGCGCGTACTTATGATGCGCACGGTCGATTTTTGGGATTTAAAAAATGGATTCAAAGTGCGCCTTTAAATATTTTTGAAAGGACGAAAGTCTTTTAGCTAGGTTGAATTAGGATGAAAAAAATAAAATGGAAAATCGAACAATTTGTGTATTCGTTAAAAAGATATGAATTTCTAACTTTTAATAATGTCACCGAGTTAATGTGTAATGAGAATATATTTAATTAATACAATCTTTGAATTTGGTCTGTGAGAGAGCAACCAATAGCCATGTTATTTAGTTTTAGATTTAGGATGTCTTACTGCAAAGAGATAAGCTCTTATTTAATTGGGAACAAAGTATTTGGAGGTTGCATAAAAATTTATTTCCTAAAACCATGGCAACAAAGATGCAAGAGAAAAGTATGAATGTCATAACAATTCGCCACAAGATGAAGTATGTTACAGACGGATAGGTAGTAGTCTCAGATATATTTAGTTGTACTGACAAGCAAATAGAGATTAGGATAATACACACATGTGTATGGGCATGTGAAACCTATGGGCAGGGGGTATATTCACGAGGCTGACACGGACAGTCCCCGAACTCGCAACTAAAAATAAGGAAAATCAGAATAAAATTATGGCCTAACCCTAACCTGGCACACATACGGGAGTACTAATACCCCACCAGGTGACATTTTACCCAATAAACAAAAAATAAATACAGCTCCCAAGTACCGACCAAGCCACTATAATTTGGAAAATGCCTAAATTAAGAAATATATATATATAAATTTTGATTGCAGCATTTAGTGCTATCTGGCTTTCCTTTCTTGTTTTTGAGTTCGTTTCTTTTCTTTTTCTTTGCGTTCTTCTTTTTTCATCATTTGTTTCTGTCTGTCGAGCTGAAAACAGAAAAAAGGATGTCATATCATATAGAATTAGTCCATGCATCTGAAACTTACTGGCTAAGTTATCCAATACTCGATTGTTAGCTGTTGTTAATTGCTAGCTATAGTAAAAATATGTTAGAAAAATTTGAAAATAATATCAAGTCAAGTCTAAAAAAATAGAGATGTTCCAGGTTCAATTTGATATTTGTTCAATTAGAACAGAAAATCCTCATGGTTGGCAGTTATGCATTTAGCAGTGACTGAGGTATCATAATGACATTCTTATGTGAAGATCATGAAAATTTAGGTTAGGAAGAATGTAGTTTGGGAAGAATGTATTATTTTTGAGAGAACTTTCGCGCAAACGTAGTCTCCGGAAATAACTACGTTAATGCTGCAAAATGCACATCTCACAACTACATGGCGAGGTTGAAAGCAATAGCTTTTGACATATAAATTCTTAAAAGGATTCTTATTATGAAGGTTTCATAAAACTCATAGATGATATAATAATTTTTTTTATGTCACAAACCTTGTCTTTCTCTTTTTTCTTTTGATTCTCTTCTTTTTGTTTCTCTCTTTTCTGTTTCTCTGCATCACTGACTGTTTTCACATTTACATTTTGAAATAATCCTAAAGTTGGCGCTGTAAATTGAAAAAGTGCTGCAATTTAAAGTCACAAGATACTATTACAAGATGCGAAATTGTACTCGCGTCAGAGCATGTACTGTTCATGGTAGTACCCCTCCCCTATTAATTGCATCTCAATTTCTTTGAAGGCTCAATTTTTGGTACTACCGTAGTGTGTGAACCAGGTTAGGGTTGAGCCATAATTCTATTCAGACTTTCCTTATTTTAGTTCTATTACGAGTTCGGGGACTGTCTGTGTTATCCAAGTTAATATACCCACTGTCCATAGATTTCAGTCCTTCTAATGTAAAACAGCCGAACAAAATTAGCTACCTCCATAATGGTACACACACATCTGGAGCGCCCAATTCTTTATATTGAATTTTTGCATGTTTAATTTTTTTTTTTTTTTTTTATTGCCAATCCCATTTGTATTTATCATTAAAATGCTGTTTTACTTCCCTGCATGGAGAAAGGAAATGTACTGAATTTTCCTAGTGATAGTGCCTAAAGACAAAAAAGACACTAAGTAATTGAAAAGACAGAATTACCATAAGGCTTTGATGGCTGTTTCTTCATTTCTGTACGGATGCAAAAGTAATATTAAGGAAAAATCATATACATATATAACAGATCAATGGCAAGTGACTGCCACCTAACCTCATGACATAAACCAACAGAAATAAACAATTGAACAGTTTCGATTGCTTTCTTTCTTCTCTAAGACTCTATCATATTATTGTGATTCAAGAGTCTCGCTCCACATTAACACATCAAATCTCTTGAATCACATAGAGTATCCATGTTTATTTTTGTTATCGCTGCGGTTCGCGAACAATTTTCCTGTGGTCGCCAAATTATCAGAAAAAAAACTCAAGGCGCACCCACACAAAGAAAAATTCTATGATCTTAACACTACTTTACAGAATGTAAATGTCATAAAAAATCAAAATGAATTTACTGATTCATATACACAAGATTTAAAATAAAAACTAAGATCATCCCGTTTTGGGAATCTCTGTACTAACGCAAGGGCATAGATGACAGAAAGATAGTTAGACAGTCTCACATAACACCAACTGATAGGTGATAAAACAAGTATGAAAAGGATATTGTTCATCTTCATCGACTTCTTCATAAACCTCAGCATATTTTTCAAGCAATGCTCTTTTCATTGCCGAATCTCCTGCCGAACTGTTATTATTCGTTGGTTTCTCTGTTGCTTGTACGTTCGTTACTTTCGCAGAATGAGCTGCTAGAATGTCTTCTATTGTTGATTTTGTTTCTGAAATAAAAAACAAACTTGATATCATTTTTTATAAATATCATTGATAATAATCTGGACAAAAATATCGTTAATTTCCCCAGTAATTGTTTGATAAATCTTATCTACAAGAAGTTAAAATATAAGAGCTAATTTTTTATGGAAAGCATCGTAATAATAGTGTATTGTTGTTTTCTGCAAAAATATGTCAGATGAGTATGTTGGCTATAGAAGCAGGGAGGGAGGGTGAAAACCTCCTAATTTACTATTATGATATAATGATACCGAATGTATCCTAAATTGTTCATTTCCTTGAACATTTTGATTGCAATGAATATGGCAATGCAGAATAGATCAAAACGTGTTTTTAAAACAGCTATCATTCAATTTCTGAGTACTGAACAATATAACACAAATTTCTTATTCTTTTATTTACAAATTTATTGAATATGAATTGACTATTATATGTGTTTTTGACCCAACTCAGAATAAATTCAATACTTGGAATGTAGATTCAACTTCAGTCACAACCACTAAACTAATGAAAAGTGCAAATGCTGATTAGATTTTGAATAAGTCGCTAACTTGACTAAATGTCTGAAATGTGTATTAACTTGACTAACCAACCTGCCTTTGTTTCATTCTTCTCGGTAAATGGTTTCCATTTTTCTAACACTTCTTCACATAATCCTTCTGGATCTTCCTGTAAAAGATATACCAGTACTAGACTAAGATAGTCAAAGCATCAATATGATAAGGAAACGGGATAATATTTCTCATCGGCTTGAAAGAAATTATATTTGGCATAAGGGTTGATTGCATTACTGCATTAGTGTCATGAACAAACTTTTGTGCTAAAAACTGGCAAAATAATAACACTTAAATTTTGCAAATAGATATCCATGTTGCCAGGTACTTGTATCAATGAAGAAATAAGAATATGTAAAAATGTCAAAGCCTAATGAAAAGAAACAAAAAGTTCAGAAAATTATGGGATTGGAATAAAAATTTGGGGCCAGTGCCAGATTTTTCAGTTTTGCTTTTGAAATAAAATAATTGACTGATTCTCTTACTGTCTTAAGACTGTAAGAGAAGCATCAAGGAATTATACAGATATAGGCTAAGTTTCAACATTTATTGCATAAATACCTGCATAATACAGTACAGCAGTAGGAAATTTCAGAAAATGCTAAGACACATCCGACCCTACAATTAGCCTAGAGTGGAAAAAAAACAATTTTAAAGTTTTGGGGTTTGTAGGCTATGCTATGCCAGATGACACCCTGCAGCCCTGATCAAGATGAATGTGGAAAACTGAATGGCTGCTTCCAGAATTAGGAAATGGGTACCGGTAATACCAGAATTGGGAACAAGTAACTTACTAATAAAGATCCTAAAATTCCTTCCAGTGCCTCTTTTTTATTTTCAGATTCATCTTCTTCCTCCAAAATGCCAGTGATATAAGATCCATAAACATCAGCGTCAATTTCCAACTCCGTTAGTTTCTTGCACAACCAATTTTCAAAATCACTTATGCTCTCGTTAGCAGCCATTATTTAGCTTACAACAGCCCAAGTCAAAACTTACAGCTTGAACACGGAAAAACTCAAATCTCAGGCCATCAAAAAGATTAATTTGAAGCAAATCTTGAAAATCTGACGAAATACAGCTGTTAGCGCAAGGGAGCTGAGGCAATGGCTGAAGCACGAGTGTCCACGCGGGAAGTGAACAGAATATAGTTTTTAAAACCGACTTGGGAACAAATTATAAATATGGAATGGAATGTTATTTATCTCTTGAAGGAGAAATTCGAAAAGACATATTAATCTTATTTCTTGACCAGGCGTCTCGTCCGACTACTGGTATCGTACATACCGCACTCATACTTTTACTAAACTCCTCACTCTGAGTAAAGTACCGGTATAATTTACGCAAGACAAATGTGGCTTTAAATTAATCGAAACAATTAAAGCTGGGTGTGTTTAGTAGTCATTTCTGTCCGGTTCTTACTAAATCATAATTATCTAATTCTGGGCCCCAACCAGAAGCAGAAAACTTGCTCACAGAAGTTTTGCATCATTAACGTGTTACTTCTGTTCCCCTTCATTTTGCGTGTATACTGAAGATATATATACAGCTCAATCGGTGCAAAAAATGAAAATAGATCCAGAAAAGTTAATTCTTTTTTAGATATAGTCAGTAGTGGGATTCAGCCGGTTCTACAGAACCGTCTCACGGAATTTTATGAGATCAGCGAACCGGTTAGCATTACTGAAAGAAGCATGACTTTTTGTAACAGAACCGGCTGAAAAATATGACATTTGTGCGATGGAACCGGCTGACAACAAATTTGAATCCCACTACTGGATATAGTCGACTGCCGCTTTGGCATCAAGAAAAGCTTGCAACTTGCGCGAGTTTCGCTGAGTGTTTGCACACAAGAAATTCTGAATTTCAACTTTATTTAAGGTGAATTACACCAAGGATCGACTCACGAAGCAGAATAGAAGAAATTATGCCAAACAGAAAATAATATAAGAACGAAATTCAAACTCAAAACTACGATATTGGGACATAATAATCGAGGACAAATTAGAAGAGTTAAAATTTTCAGGCTTGAAGTAAATGGAAATTCACATGAATTCTATGCCAGAACGTAAAATAAACTTTAGGACGATTTTCAAAAATTACCAAAAACTATAAACGACATAAAAAACTTTTGACACAACGTTAATATAGAAAACTTTTCTAATAAAATTCTAAGATAAAACGTCATTAAAATATCATGATTTACTTTCGCTAAATTGGAATCTGAATTCATTTTCGTTTATTTCAATAGCAATGAAAACATTAAGCGATTGAAGGGTCACTGAGATATGGGTGTTTAAACCCTGTTATTATCACACCACTAAAAGTTACCCCATCGTTTTGTTCAAGTTATACAATCTTTAGTATGTGGATAAGAGAAAGGTGAGAGTAATACCCTAACCTAAAATGAACAGAATCGAAGAAACAAATCGGGAAATTAGCGCTGTGGGCAATGATAAGATAGCACCGAGTTTGATTGATTATATTTTCAATGAAAGCTTTACTCACAAAAAAAGTACAGCAAGTGATGTTGGAAATTAAATAATATTGAACAATAGTCAGTGTCCGGATTACTTGAATTCAACTGACAGATAACTAATTGATGATCACTCAAATCGTACTCAAAAATCAATACGAAAAATATGAAATTAATCAATGGATTTTTTTTACGAAGCCCCAACTAAAAAAAAAAAAACGCCACCGCCGAAAATAAGGAAATTATTAGTTATCAAGTTAGGGTTTGCGTTAGAGATGCAAATTGCACTAAAATTCAAATTTTCAAAATATTCCTCACCCTTACCCCAACTGGATAATTCTAATTTGTTATTTGGCTTTTTTTTTCCAAAACTCACATTTTTGCATTAGTGACGGGGGCTTTGCGCAAAAGATCCTAATTACCTACTATGATAGGAAAAATTAATCCAAAGGTGCGTAAAGTGAAAATCAACGCTGTCAATAAAGTATGAAAACGAAGTTTTCGTACAAAGAATAAAATCAGTCACGAGAAGATCATAATAAAGTTGTCAAGAACGTTTAAAAATATTTGGCCAAACTTCAAATAAATAAGACTAAACAAAAAATAAAAATAAAATTTTGAAATTTGTTTTGGGTTTTTATAAAAAATATTCTGTATCTTAAACAAAAATGAACATAAAATAACGGCCAAACGGAACAGAAAAGTGAATAAATTGGAACAAAAACTAAAATAAAACACAACGTAGTATAGAGAGTAACTAGATTGTCAAATTAAAATGAAATTTACGGGCTAGATGGCGTTAGAATAATTTCCACATAAAATCGGCGTCTTGCCCAGAATAAAATTAGGTAAGGCGAATAAGATAGATACGGATGCCTTTAATTAGATAGTAAGTAGCTTCTTATGAATTAGTGGTCAATTGCCAACAGTCCTAATCAAAGCAAGATGTAGAATCACGTCAAATAAGCAAACTTCCGTGGCAACTCAAGAACGGTCATTTAAGCAAATGAATAGTGGGGTTAATTAATTGGTGCTCTTGAAGTATGCGTACCAAGACGGCGGAAACCGAAACGGATTATTCTTATTCTCCTTATTTCAGTTCTATTACAAGCCCGGGTACTAGCCAAGTGACTCCCGTAGTATTTGTACCTAAAATTGTGGCCTAACCTTAACTTGGTAGACATACTACGTTCCGGTCTCCGCCATCTTGGTGCGCATACTTTAGGAGTATCATTTAAGCTAATTACCATGTATCTCGAATAAATGATTGCTAATTCAGAAAATTTGATCGTTAATTCATGAATAGAAAAGGGTATGTAAACAGAATATATATGAGTATCCTACATTAGGTAAAAGAATCACTAATTTTAAGTAATTCAATTTACCATACTGTCTGATTTATTTGATAACATTTTATATAGATCACTTATTTTCACTACGCCATTTGGGGTTTGATTCTTGGATTGGCAAATCTGATTGGCTTCCTCAGCGGACGTCTTTTCCTCATCGACGTTTAAAGATTTCATCGTTATGGCAACCTCTTCGTCCACGTCTTTCGATTTCCCCGACGCTACGGTAATTTGCAATGCACACCATACAGCGGTTCTCGATTTCCGTGTTGTGAAAGATAAGGTTTCGAGACTGTCGGCTAAAACTTTTGTCATTTCATCTGGTGATATAAAAGCAAAGTTGGTTGGGAAGCTCGAGTTGTTGCTGGGAAGATCGATAATGATTGCCAAAATATGTAAGTCAGTGGTATATTGTGGTATGAATAAACTGTCTCCCTCAGGGTGTAGTTAAATAAGGTAGACAGTCAATAGTTAATTTTTACACAGACCGAACCGATTTTCATACATACAGAATGGGGAAATATGAAAAAATGCATTTTGGTGTGAAGGGAGACGAAATAAGCTAGTAATGGTTAATTAACATCGTCGCCTATGAGAAAGTCTAACATTAAATTATACCAAGGGGAAAAGTCGAACATAAAATACTAACAAAAGCCGGACTTATGCTATATTTAATACTAAACGACCCGATATCCCAGTGTCGCCGAGAATAACCGGAATGATTCACGTCCTCCTAAAAATAATATCTTCTCACTAATCAGTGGTTTTAATACAGATCCACCAGGCAATCGTGCCTATTGATTAATATCGGCATTACAAAATAGGATCAATATAATACTGTAGATATGCAACGATAATTAATACAACAAAATATAGGATATTTTGAGGCAGTAAGTCTGTATTGGAAGCCCATGTATAGGATGGAATTCACATATTTATCCCGAGGAATAGAAAAGCCGATGCCTCTCGTCTGAATACCAGTCCAAGTCGGGTATGGGATCAGTTAGCCAGTTATTTGTTTTCGGAAGCATGGACTTGATGGTGGCGGAAGCCGTAACCGGCCAGTGGCGACGTGAACCGGCCACCCTACAGGGGCGAGGAGTCTAGCAACCCTCTCGCACGTGACTGCGAACCCACGCTGGCCAATCAGAGGCGCGGAAACGAGTGTATTTCTAACGCTTAGCGCGACGCGCAACACATCGCCGAGCCAATTATGAAAGCACAATTGCCCCAAAGTAAAACTCACCATTTTCTCCGTCCTGAGGGAGAACTGGTGATCCGGGAGTGCTATGTTTGGAATTGACTTCTTCTCTTCGTTTGGCTTCAACGTCTTTCAATGAAGTGTAATGACGTTCGAGACAGTTTGAGATATTAGGATGTAGTGGACCTTCAAGCAAATGCTCCATGCGATCGATCAGTGCCATAATCTTTGAAAATAAATTTAAAAACAACGATACGCGAATATGCAGACAGGGCGCAGTCAAGTAATTCGTCGTTAGTCGGGAAGGAACTCACCATTCTCGATAACTTGAAGATTATTTTAAAACTAAAAAATCTAGGCTTACTCAATGGGCGGATATATTTGTAAAAAATAAAATGAATAGTACAGGAGTTGAAATGGGGTGATTAAATGCAACGATCCACGGGTTTACCTTATCTCCAACATTTAAGCATAGATTTTACCGGTGTCTCCGAATGAATGGTTGCAAAGAGCCTTATGTTATGGCGTTAAAAATAGTATATTTTAAACCCCGTGAAGATATAAGTTTATTCAAATATATTTCCGGCGATTTGACATCACTCACCCTTGAATGTTCTCTGAGTTGGTCCACGATCAATCTGTCAGCTTTCGATGGGTTAGGAGGGAGGCGTGGCACGGGTGTGTTGTTTGCACTCGTTACTCGTCGACCAGGAAAGTTACGCGCCAACTCTGATTCCGCCTGAAAGATAAGTTTAGTGTCTAAATTTGGCATCTTTATCACCATTGGATACTACTAGCATTACTACCCACTAGTATCACAGGTGGCTCGCTAATCAAGACCCGCCGTTAGTATCCAGCAATCTGTACTTATGCCCAACAATTCTTTGTCATGTTCTCTTTGTACCAATTGCATCCTAAACTTCATTTGCTAACTCTTAAAATTTGGCTAATGTTTTATATCTATTGTACAAATGCTACAAGACACATACCTATGGGCGTCCACAGAATACCATGCACCACGCCTGAGTAGCTGGTATCACTTCATAAGATGAATCCAAACTATTTGCCTACGGTTTTATTTCTATTCTATCATAACTCAGAACTGTGGTACAAGAGGAACACGACATTTTAAGTCATCGCTATTCACGAAGAAGATTTGGTACTGCGTGCATAAACTTAGCTCTCATAATATGAACATTTCAAGCCATACACACCATCTTTCTTTCTCTTTCAAGGCATCTGTACTGTTCATAACACTCTTCCATGCAAATATATAACTTATACTTTGGCACTGTTCTCTGCATTTGTAATAAAGCTGCCTGACGCTGAGGTGGAAACCGCATTGTACTCGGAGAAATACCTAAATAAGAGACTCATGTCGTTTTGTTTACTACTTTGTTTATCAGAATAACGAGAATCAAGCATTGTGACGTTAAGGCTTTATTGTTGTGACTATATTGACGTAACTGGTCACAGATATAGGGTTCAAGGTTTATGCCCACCACCTAATCCATGGTGTATCCAATTGAGTGGGCAATGTCGTACCGGAATAATTCTGATCCTTACAAAAATAGTAGCTCAATGAATATCAGTAAATGATTGTACATTCAGGCTCCAAGAAGAAGATTATACAGGGTGTCCATGGATTCCCCTTACAATTTCAATTTTGGTACGAAGTCAGTTCTCAATATATCTTAACCAGGTTTGTTGTTTTTAAGCAGTAATTGTTCAAATATTTTTACTTCATTTACCGTAATACATCTGTGAGGACCAAAACAATACACGGTATTGATAAATTCCATTTGCAATTTTAAAAAATTTTAAGGTTTTATGGACACTTTACATTGAAATCAAGTCATTAAGAAAATTTCAAATATATCTTTACGACCTGAAGGGTGTTTTGTATTTGTGATGAACCTTTCAGTCTTAGCACATGCTGTATTTAGCAGAGCTAGTGTATGCAACATTTCTGTTTCATAAAACTCAATGAACAATGAAATTTGGAATGGAGTTGAATGAGTGGAAAGTTTGCCAATTTGTACCGTTGTTACGGTTTTTTATCAATTTTTATTCACATTTCATTGCAAAGTCAACCAAACTATGCATTTCTTATAAATTTCTTATGAGCTCTTTAACATCTTCGTTTGGTATAAATTACTAGAAAACAGTGAATTATGCGCAGAAAGTTATTGTCGTCACTTGAATCAAAAAGTTTCAACATTAAAGTTCTTGATTAATATGGAAATAACAGGAGTTGTGAGAGATGGATTGCCCGTTATCGGGTCTACAACACCTGCAGTACATACCTGGTATAGGAATCGGATTTCCCATTTTATCGACCGGTAACATCGTCCAGCCTTTATCAGTGAAGACAGGAAGAAAATTAGCTGCCATTGGTGAGTAAGACAAGGCCGAGTTGGGAGAACACATGACTGGTCTTGTGAGGGCCATACTTGGAGTGAGTGAGAGTCTCTGGTAAGGTGAAAACGGCATCGGGAGACTGTTGGCAGGGCTAACAGGGACAAAGTTAGCGCTGAACGCTGGAGATGGCGGTAATGTGGGATTCGGTAATGATGATTTTGTGGCTTGTATGTTGGATGTGTCCTAAAATATAGAATGAGTGTGGTAATACCGCAATGGCAAAAATGGTTTATTTCCATTAATAACTTATAGGGAAGCAAAAAACGCATAAATACCGACTTCTTTCGTTACATGCAACAACTCTGTTACACACAATAAAATATATTGCTAACTTCCTACGTTAAAGCGGCTACTTGTCCAACGCCTAGTTTAGAGTGGCAATACACTGTACACAACACCGTATATACTCAGTCAACAACAAGTTGAATCAACTGGGTTGAACAATATTGCTTATAGAAGGTAGAGACTACCGACTTTCAAACAAAATAATATTTGACCTGCGTCATCATTTTATTCGACGGACTTTCTCGTTGTTCTGCTGCTATTTCAACCTAAACAATAACAATTATATAAGTGAACTATAACACTGTTTTATATATTAAAATTTGTTATCGAATTGTGTAAATAGATCAAACAGAAAATGATACGGTATTGGGCTGTGGTTATCGTGTTCTTATAATCATCTAAATTCTAAATATTGTATGTTCGATATCGGGGTCGCGCTTACTGAAAAATATACCCAAGACCATCGACACAACTGGAGTGAGAAACGGTACAGCAAGGTGGAAATAAATTCGCCATTAGAAGCCAAATAGCTACTCATATATGGAAAAAACAAAGGTCGTTGTTAGTCAAAGGATAGAAAAAACTTCGTAAAAGCCTCAAATAAGTCCTTTAAATAACATACAGCAATAATCGGTGCATATCTGATATATCTCTTCGGAAAAGAAATTAATTACCTCAGTCGCAGAAATAATTGAACCGTTTTCCGTACAACCGTTAGATAATATTGGTTGAAATGATACTTTCTGAGCTGATAATTCAACTTCGCTGAGAGACGACGGTGGTGAAAAAAGATCCGACGCTGACAAGAGAGAATCTTGAGTCAAACTTGGCAGTACTGTACCTGGATTGAGAAAAATGGTTGAATATTTTGGATGTTTTTACACAATGTTGGTTGTTTAACTTTCGATTAGATGGCTTAACTACCGAAGCCTCGCTCATCAATAATAACAGTGCTTCAACAATCAAGTTCCTAGATATTTGAACTTGGGTGTCGCTGCTTGATAACCAGCTTGAAAACAGCGGCTTCTATGTGTATTTAATATTATTCGTCTGAACATTGCATGTTATTTTTTTACTGGTTCGAAAAAATAAACTTGACTATGACAATGTTTGTGAGCGATTATTCGAAAAAACACTCGCAAAATAAGCATAGATAATTCCGTAATGGCAAAGTATAATGGTTGTAGTCTCCTTACATTATATGTAAAGAGTAGGAATTTCACCTAAGCCGTCAAACCAAATTACTTCGGATGCCCACTATCACCTAAAAAATTCAAACTGATAGTACTTGACAAAAACACAACATATTTTACTTCTTTAACTTCCTATAGCAAAAGCACAAAAATGCTAAGAAACAAATCGTTGGCGTCACCAATGTTATTTTATCCGAAGTTGGGAACTTTGACGATATAGTTATTTGATCTTCGTGCCCACATATTGCTCTCTTGTTATTTATGTAAAGTTTGTTTGTTTTGCCCTGCCATATTTTCAGGAAAATTGGGCATTCTGATGCCACTGCTATCGTTGCGAATAAATTGCGAATAATTGCACTTTATCGCTCCACTCTTGAAGCGACCCAATAACTTTCGTATACTGCAGAAGTTACTGTAGGATCGCTTGTCAGTCAAGAAACGCGATATTCGGCAAGTTTATTTCTAAACCTTGGCAGCGACGAAACTTGCACTTGTTACGCATATTAATATGCTCTATCGATCCTGCCCAGACTCAAAAAGTATATGTGTATATCGTATTTAGGCATGTACAATACTGTATTACAACATGAACTGCATGGAACTGGTTCAAGTCAATTTTTTGAGGTAATATATTAAATTCACTCAACATCAGACGCGATCGACTACTCGAGACCTGGCGATCGACGTGGTGGCCACATCTGCCATATATGAAGTCCATAACCAAAACATATCCTAAAAAATATTTATGAATGTTTACGCTATCTTACTTGGAGATTGCTGGTAGTTTGATTCCGCAAAACTGTTTTTATTGGTTGAAGGATTGCTCGCAAAACCAGCGTCGCTTCCTGGAGTACTAGGTTTACTCCATGGTGAAGGCAGATGCTATAAACACAGATACTCTTTCATTATTTATTACAATCATTATATTTTACAATAATCACGTATATCCCAATATAATTAAATTGATTTCAATAAACTTTCCAAAAACTTGTTTGATGAGATATGAGGTACAATTTAAATTTGTACGTTACTTACGTGTAAAGAAAGCTTTGCGTCTAACTGTGATTGGATTGGTTGAAACGCGTGCTTGCTTCCACTCCTCATACCTTGATTGGCTGTTGCCATAACAGCGGGAGAAGTTGGGTATAACGATGGATGCATCGGGAAATCTGAATTGCCGTTTACGTTAGTATAATGGCATAGCGTTGATATACAATGAAAAAAGAATAACAATGGTATCTGAATCTGATCTAAATCGCCATGCAATTGGCCACTTCCATTGAGGGACAAGGATTAGACAAGGAAACATATTGATGTGCATTCAATCAAACTTGCTGCCGTGAAAAATTAAATTTTATTTAACAAGGATATTTTTTCTGGGTCTTTTGTGAGTTTTTTCAAATAAATAAGAAGATGAAGTAATATTTTAAAATCAAAACCACATAAAAAATGTGGCCTCTTAAATAGGCTTTTTGGTAGATTTTGGTGTTGGGTTACGATACAAATTTATATAATTATAATCAATACCCAAACTATTGAGGTATTTTGTCGTCTTTGAGAGTTTGAGAAAACTGAAATATGGAGATAAATATACCTGGATGAATCATTTTCTTTGGCGTCGTGAGTTGCTTAGACGGATCCAAACTTCTCAGGTGAAGTAGTTCGGCGTCTACACGAAAAAATATAAGTTACTTGACGACTGGCCAAAAGCACAGTTTGAAGAAAGGAAAGAAATATATATGTAAAAACGGGCGCTCCAGAAGTGTGCGTTCCAATATGGAGGTAACTAATTTTGTTCGCCTATTTTACATCAAGTTGTAAAGGAACCGAAACCGATGGGCAGGGGGATATTCGTTTGGCTAAAACAAACAGTTCCAAGCTCGCAATAGAACAAAAATAAGGAAAATTGGAATAAAATTATGTCCTATCCTAACCTGGTACACACACTACGGAAATACCCAAAAACATTCTACCTTTCTACGACACGCCCTCAAATATTATTAACCTTATTCAATTAATTGGAGTATTACAAGTTTGATAAAAAGTTACATTCATTGCATTTGGATTTTTAACGACAGCACTACTACAGTTACTAATTACAATACTAATTGCTACAACAATACTAATTTACCCAGTGGCACATCTACGTAAAATGGCCGCCATGGCAAAGTTTATAACGCACCTCCTCGATCGTTGACTGGCAATTTTTAACAATTGTTGTTGAATTGAGATATTCGTGCGTTATTATTTGGTTATAAAAATACTAGTTTAAATCATTTCCAAATTTAAATCATTTTATTGAAACATTTTAGGGTTAAAATTATCGGCTTTTTGCAGCCCTATTCAAACGGCGCCCACGAGCCATGGCTGCCATATCCTAGATCAGGGGTCTGCAAATACGGGGTCGCGACCCCCGAGTTTGGGTCGCGAAGCTCTCCACGCTGGGTCGCAAAACAATTTAAATTTACCATAAATATAAGCATCGTGTCTGTGTACCGAATTTAGCTATAACAACTATATAAAACTCTAATTATAATTATGGATTTTTTCCTGAGTTTGGACTTCCTTATTTACTGCCGTAACATTGGCCAATCAGCATAAGTGCCGAATTTGACGTAACAATAAACGTTTTAAATTTAGGTTGATATTAAATTTAAAAATAAAAGTGATGTTATTCAAGTAACGTATTTCTTACTTTTAGCCTACTGCGATTTTGTTGTTGTCAATTATGAAAACCCGATCTCACATAAATGTAAAAATGCCTGTAAAAGCTTTTTTTGCAATGTCGGGGTATTCAGATAGCAGTATTGCCCAAAAGATTGCCAAAGTAGCTACCCTATAAATCGCGAAGACCCTTTTTTCAACTGATTATTGTTTGAAATATCAATCAAATAAAGATGTTATTAGGACATTGTCCGTCTTTTGCGTCACGTTTCTGCGGACGGGTAGTAACCTTTCCGCAGACCGGCGATGGGCCGCGGCCGGTGGTTGCCGACCACTGATTTAGTCATTCAGCTGATTTTCATGGTTGTGAATATTACCTCGTTTTGTCGGTTTTTGCGAGTTATTTGTTAGATTTTAGTTGTGTTTTGGTAAATATACGTCCTGAACTCGCAAAACCATTCTTGAAATAAGTACCAATAATTTTGCAAAGGTAGAGTGTAAAGAGGAAGAATTCAAGAGATCAAAAGTCGGGGCAACATTCGTTACTTAGTTGTTTGCATTGATATATTCTACTACGTAAACTTTAGGTTCTCAAAGTGCTCCGTACGGAGCCTCAGGACTCCGTTAAAGACACTTAGGGCCTCCGCGAGCTATTCGTTTACTTGAAAACTGTCCGCGGCCCACTGCCCTATTCCCATCTACCTACTTACCTATCCTCGACCCACTGCCCGACCTCCCTCAACTTCCCTATCCTCGACTCACTGCCCCATTTTCTTCAACCTTCCTATCCTCAACCCACTACGCTATCTGCCTATCCTCAACCCACTGCCCTATCTCCCTCAACCTTTCTCTTCTCGACCCACTGCCCTATCTCCCTGAACCTACCTATCCTCGACCCACTGCACTATCTCCCTCAACCTACCTATCTTCGACCCACCGCCCTCTCTCCCTCAACCTACCTATCCTCGACCCACTGCCCTATCTCCCTCAACCTACCTATCCTCGACCCACTGCCCTATCTCCCTCAACCTACCTATCCTCGACCCACTGCCCTATCTCCCTCAACCTACCTATCCTCGACCCACTGCCCTATCTCCCTCAACCTACCTATCCTCGACCCACTGCCCCATCTCCCTCAACCTACCTATCCTCGACCCACTGCCCTATCTCCCTCAACCTACCTATCCTCGACCCACTACTCTATCTCCCTCAACCTTTCTTTTCTCAACCCACCGACCTATCTGCCAGAACTTCCCTATCTTTGACCTACGGTGCCATACTATTCAGTACCTGACCTAACGGCGCTTTATTCACGACCCGATCGCCATACTGAACTTCACTATCTTGCGACCAAATTCTATGGGTTATACTGGTCGTGTATGCCAATGAGATGATTCAATCGTACGTCGACAAAACATGATTGGCGGCATTCGTAAATGTACGCTGGAATCCCAAATGGTAAACAATAACCATAATTGGCAGTTTAAAAATGTTTTACTAATTGGGCTACTGATGGTTTCTTGTTGGGAATGGCAGTTTTCCAAATTTTAACAAGCCGTTTTATGCCCTCAATAATTAGCCATGTCGTGAGTTTGTGACAATATGATGCTGGTTCGGAGTAAGCAATAGTGCTCTGGTCCTGTCCTCTGGTTTCTCCAACAAGCGATGCCAAAGATTACATACGAACGGAGTCCTTTGCAACTTCAATGAGTTGCAGATAAGATACGCTCAATTTTGGGACTATACGCTGAATTAAAGGGAAGTTGGCAACGCTAGCTACGACAAAACATTTCATGGCTTAAAAATAGTTTGAAGGGCTTACACTTACTGAGCGACTTATATTTTTGACTGTTTTCGACTTTTCAGCCTTCTCAGTCACGTAAATAAAATTTGTATATACAACAGGATATGGCAGAACATTCGTTGAAAAAGACCAAGCGTGCAAATAGTTGATTATTTCCTCATCGTCTTGCCTTGCACGGCGACATTGAATGAGTTTCTAAAAAGGAACTCAGATATGTCGACATCGAATGACCTGTTTATTTTTTGCCTGTTAAAATTTTGAAAACAGTGACTCCAAGCCCGATGCCATCAGTAGCCTAATTAGTAGCACATTTTTAAGCCACTAATTATGGTTATTGATTACCAATTGAGATTCCAGCCTACATTTACGAATGCCGTCAGTCATGTTTTGTCGACGTACGATTGAATCATCTCATTGGCAAACTCGACCGGTATAACACATGGAAGTTGGTCGCAAGATGGTAGAATTCATTTTGACGACCGAGTCGGGATTATAGCGCCGTTAGGTTAGGTACTGAGTGGTATAGCGCCGTAGGTGGAAGATAAGCAAGTTGAGGTAGGTCGGACAGTGGGTCGAGGGTGGGAAGTTTGAGGCAGATAGTGCAGTGGATTGAGGATAGAAAAGTTGAGGGAGATAGGGTAACGAGTCGAGGTTGAAGGGGATAAGAAGGTTGGGGAAAATAAACTAGTGGGTCGAGGATAGGAAGGTTGAGGGGGATAGAGCGGTAGGTCGAGGATAGGAAGGTGAGGGAGGTGGAGCAGTTGGCCAAGGCGAGGGAGACAGGGCAGCGGATCGAGGATAGGGAGGTGAGGAAGGTGGAGCAGTTGGCCAAGGCGAGGGAGACAGGGCACCGGATCGAGGATAGGAAAGTGGAGGGAGATAGCAGATAGGGCAGTGGGTCGAGGATTTGAGTTGGGATGACTGTATAACAGCACTGACTCTGAAGTCTAAACCAGAGGTCGGCAAACTTCTGTCGTTCGCGAGCCAAAAATAAAGGTTGCAAGTCATTGGCGGACCGCACGTATTTTAAGAAACTTAAAAACCAAAGGAATGGCCAATGAATCACATTTTTTCACCCAGATTTCAGTTAAATTTCGAGCATTGCGCGAAGACTGATCATTTGAATATTTTCAGCGTCATTAAACCATTTGCGCTCAGCATCAACTTTTTTTACGTTCTGTTGCCATTTCTCTAATTATAATCAATTATAGGCTCATTAAACGAGTGATTGTGGATTATATACTTGTTATGTTATAGTATAATTTAGTTTCTCAAAACAAATTCTGTCACGTAAAGAATATAATCGTCAATAAAGCTGTTTTGTTAATATAATTCAGTAAAGCGTCGTGGGCCGAATCTGGCCCGCGGGGCCGTAGTTTGCCGACCACTGATCTAAACCCTTCAATGAAAGTTTGATCATTTTACTGTGTCGGCCGATATTTGTCCCATCACTGCATCTAGAAATCACTGATACATTCATGCATAGACCGAATTCGATATGAAGGTATCGAATATAATTGGCTTTATAACTGCAAACTTTCCCTTAACAACGAAACATTGCGATAATCTTAAGTGCTGAAAGAGCAACTCAAAAATACGATTTCAATCCATTCATTGCTAGTAGACAGTTTAACAAGTATTTCATGGTTGCCGTAGTATATTAGTCAACTCATAGGCGAGCAACGATGAACACAATTGAATTGATATGACAAGACATTTTAAATTCTCGGGTCGGCCATGGATTGAATATTTTACGCAACAGTAATCTCGTTATCGACTGAAAAAGACGTTTTCTAATCGTGTCTAATCGCGATGAGTGTTGCTCGGGAATTTTCTATTCTGAACCCTTTTAGAAAACCATGGCTGCTGCGCCCTTGGTTATAGATAATGTTATATTTGAATCACTACCACATTTCGACACCACCGTTGTCAAATTTTATTAGTGACGTTAATGCTTCTTCACAGTACAAAATTAACCAAGTCAGTTTTTAAGCGAACGAATAGCTCGCCCTGAGATCCACGCCCGACAAAAGACTCATCTTTTCACCCTCATCGGATAGAAACACATCACTCAAACTATACATATAAGCAGAATAACAGCGAATAATGTATAAAGATTGGTTTCACGTGTATTCTTATAAATGATGATTGACGTCCTCAATGTGTTGTTTGTTCAAACAAACAAACAAACGTTCCTCATGTTCTTACCAACAAAAGCTTGAAAGCAGCGATATTGAAACGCCATCTTACAGCAAAGCATCGAAAATTCATTAAAAAACCAATACATTTTTTCCCGCCTATCAGCGTTTTCATACATAAAATACAATTACAGATCAAGGCTAGAGGTAGAAAAATATCTTCGAGTTGCCGTCTCCCAAATTAAACCTCGATTTGATATGTTCTTATAGCTTAAGCTTATAATTTGCATTAGTCATAATAAACGCTATTATTCACAATTTTATGTGATAAGTTTCATATAATTTTGTGCAAGAAAAATTCTAGTGTCGACAATAGTCTTAAAATCGATAACTAATTACATGTTTACCAAATGCTTTGGTCGCGAGAAGTTAAAAAACAAAATTTGGGTCGCGCTAAAAAGTAGTTGCGGACCCCTGCCCTAGATATGTCACTGAATTTACCCATGCATTATGCTTCCTCTGTTAGCGAATATGGTTCCCGCGCAAAAGTACCGGTGGATGGATAAATACTATTCATACAGTAGTGAACTTACTGTTATTATTATTCCATTGCATATACGACAATAGCGGAGAAGGCGTTCCATTGCCGATACCAAGTTCGCAATATGTTGGCTAAAAATTGGTTTGAAAATTAGCAAATAGGGTTCTCGCGGAAATGTAACGGTCTCGGTGAGGATAGGGCCATCAACATTCATTCACATTATGATAAAAATATACAACTCTGAACTTACTGTTATTATTACTCCATTGCATTTGCGACAATAACGGTGGAGGCGTTCCATTGCCGATACCAAGTTCACGAAACTTCGCTTGAATCATCTGTTCTTGTGTGGTGGTCATGTTACTTGAAAAATTAAATAGAATTTAATTTATGCGGTCCCCAATTCCGTTTTATCTCTCTCTATATATTAAGACTTATTTTAACTTCTTATATCCCTTTAAAACAGTGATTCTCAAACAATGGACGATTTGATCTTGCCCGCTCTATTTTCAATATCTATACAATACTTTATTTTGGATACGGATTCATTTTTACGTTCCATATATACGTATTTGCAACATGTTATTTGAATAAAACATACTTTCGACTTACTATCTGTTATATTTGTAGCTCATTGTTAGCTAGTTTTTCTTGAGGTCGGTACTTGAGTACGCGGCTTGAAAAGTTTTTGAGTACCACTGTTTCAAATAAATCCGATATAACGACATATTATGGTTACGAAAATTGGTTAACAGTTATGAAACAATGAAGAACGACATTTCTGGACATCATTGGTCGGATAAGGTGTCCTCCGCCATGAAAGTCCGAAGCTGGTTATTAGGGTATATCAGATATATCAAAAAAGAGATGAGAACCGGTAAGACTATTTGATCACACGGTGAACCACGGCTTCTCGTGTGGTTACCATTCCATGTCGGATAGGAGAATAGTTGGCACTTCAAAAGTGTTTGTACCAATATGGAGGGAACCAATTTTGTTTGCCTACTTTACATTAAGTTATGTAAAGGGATTGGAACGTGTGGGCATCGTATATTCACTTGGCTAAAACAGACAGTCCCTGAACTTATAATAGAACTAATATAAGGGAAATCGGAATAAAATTATGGCTTAACCCTAACCTGGCACGCACACTACGAGAGTACCGAATAGTTAACGGGTAAGCATGGACACTCCTATCGTTGATAGGACAGGTCAGGAAATGGGAAATTGTTTCAGATATATGAACGTAGATAGAGGAAGCCGTAATCGACCAGTAGTTACGTGAAACACCCAGCAATGTCTATAATATGGCTATTGATGCACGAAAGTCGATCGCTAGCCCTAAAATTTATTGAAAAATCGCGCGTCACTTGCATAAAGTCTTTTTAAACTCAAAGGTTAAAGAAGCAAGTATTAACAGATTTTTCTGACAAAAATCGTTTTTGTTTCATATAACGCAAGTGTCTGAATTGTTTGAGAAGGCCATTTATCAAAAGGCATGCGCATATTGAATCAACCCTATAACAGCACATGATTAAAAAATAAAATTATCAATTTTCAGAAACTTACATGAAAGATAGTATTCATCTCGGACATGATTGATAAAAAAATTTAGGATCATTTTATTTGGACTCAACCACAAATGGTAGAATATATAACAGATGCAATAACAGATTTTTTTCTTTATGCCGTCAGCTTTGCGCAGTGGCAGTAACCAATGGGGTTTATCCGAGGTGCGATCATCGCTGGTTGGAAACTATTACCAATACCGCGCCGCGGTGGCACAAAAACGTCGCTTGTGGCAATTTCTGATGGGTTCTGTGGGATTTAAACCTATTGTCGTAAGCCAAAGCAGAGTAGTCGGAATGCAACTATATTTTGATCAAGAAATATCACACATCCGATTCGTTAGAAAATAAATTAAGAAGTTATCAGAACAGACGGACTTACTTCTGGATGGCAGACATCATAACAGCGGCTTGTTCATTGGTTAGCTGGTGTGGGTGTGTCTCGGGTGTGGAATGATAAACCATTGGTGACGTCATGTTAGTCTGATACATTCCAAATATTGACGAAGGATCTGCACAAGAATTTTAAAGAAATTGATCAGTTAACGATTTGGCGATTATATTTTATTTAATGCAGCAACGAATAAACCCCATTTTGACATCATTTGCGAAACACATTAATTTTTGAATCAAATGATATACAGCAGGGTGGTCCATACCCTGGCACGCCGCGCAAAACAATTTTACCGTACACTAAACAATTGAAAGATATTTGTATTTATTGGACGAATATTTTTTAACTGAGGATGAAATCCCGAGATTTAAACGCCTTACCTAATCCCGATGTCGAGAATGATATTTAATAATATTTTAAACTCGCAGTATTTTGTTCACTTTTGGTGTTTTCCGACTGCAGACCGCAAGACATTTTCAAAATATTTTGCGGTCCTTTAATCTCGCAACCTAGGACCACCCTGATATACAGTAATGCACTAAATCGGGCGAATAATAATTAAAAATATTGACAAACTAATTAGCATTCATTAGTTACACGGTCTTACCTGCTTCAGAATTTCCTCCGCCGTTCCAGCCGTTCTTTTGCGAAAAGTTTCCGAGTGCGCTCTGATTGGCTTGGTCAAGACTCTGCCTGAAGTAAATATAACGGGAAATTAAAATTTTGAGGTTTAAGTAATGAGTAAATACGAAACGAGAATATCGGTCGGAGACCAATGACTTATCGATCGAAACTGCGGTTTCAAACAAATGTGTGAATCCAGGCCCAATCAGTTATCTATTTCTAAACCAAACTCGAACAGCTAACTGGACGAGAGATCATGTGATTCGCAGTATGTTGGGGCCGATATGAAGACTTTTTTTTTCCTATGAAATATTCGGAAATCCTGTCTTTTACCTGTATTTTAGAAACTCCTCCGCGAACATACAGTTTTGTTGAAGCGACATGCCGTTTCCAGTCATTTGCTGTCTTAATTGTGCTTGTGCCATGTAGTCGTCCAATCCATCTGTGATGTTTCCAAGAAAGTACAATATAAACTTGATATTACATTAGCAAAACTATTGCTATTCTAGAGCAGAGGTGGGCAAGGATTTTGGACCCGGGGTCATGAAATTTGCCCATCTAGATATGCGGGCCATGTAAGAGTGATGTAAAAGTTACATTTTATGAACAACATTTCCAGTGATATCAAAAGCAAACGTGAAAAACATAAGCCTCGTGCCGAACTGAATTTAATAGAAAATTCAACCAATTCCTTGAGTTATTTTTAGCTAAAACATCAAATTTTGGTTTTAGTTTGGTTGTGGCAGCATCAGGCAGGCCAGATTGTAATACCCAACGGGCCGGATTTAGCTTGCGGGCTGTAGTTTGCCTATGTCAGTTCTAGAATAAAAAATCCCCAAAAATCTTCAAGTAAACTACCTGCAGCCAACGCTATCAGTTTGCGAAACGTCTCGCCATCAAGAGGGCTGCTGTTGTTGCTCGGTTGTGGAATATCTGCACCTGGAAGAAGAGCAAATGGTCAATAAAATATGTCAGCTACAGTAGTTATGTGAAATAACGCGACGATTATTGGTCTTTTTCGCACTTGGAATAGACAAATTCTAATACAAGTAATATGCCTGAAATAATAAAAAGACGTACAACATCACTAGAAATACGCCACTCGTGGACCGTGGCTACCACGCATTGCATGAATTCTTATGACAAAGATTCGCAACATTTGAAATTACTTGGATATTCTGCTAAAAGAAGCTGCATCTTGTTTTCTATTCATAGTTTTTTAATAAGGTCATCGGGGAAGCATAATAATAAGATAACAAAGAACGAAATGTAATGAATAAAAAGTTTTCCTGCAACTGCGACCCATACTTTTCACTTGTGCTGAATTGCATTGTGATCAGAAATTGCTGCTTTACTTATGAATTCCAGATTAATGTCACATTTACAAAAGCTTCATTGCGCAAAACACTGGCCCTTTAAGTTTCGTTTGATGCACCCGAATTCTTTCTCATAATCACCACAGTAAATGTTTTTGCGTTTACTTATTTTCTCCCTTATGAAGTTATCTAAACTAAATTCAAAGTTATAATTAACCGGTATATTTGTGTTTTGTTTAAAGCACTGATTCTCGACTGGTTATAAAGTCGAGATAGACACGCGCTTAAATGCTTGGGGAAAAGACAGTCGCTCAGAACGCCAGAAAACGGAATCAGTAGGCTAGTGCTACACGTCTCAAATAATTCTACTAGTCAACTGCAAACCTCTCATTCACTAACTGAATTTTAATTCAAGTTACACCAACTAATCTTTGTCGATAAGCTGTAGTTTTATCATTATGACAATTAATTTGCTGTTATTACGTCATATATGCGCGTAGCAATGAATGCGGTTCTACTATCATTTCTAGTAAATCAATCATTCATATTGACCAATCTAAGTGCCCGTAATAAGAACATATAACTCTAAAATAAAACAAAAGGACAATAAGGACACATGTCAAAAATAACGACATTTCTTAGAAATAAAGACATGACCTTCGGAATAAGTACAAATCTTAGAAATAAGGACGTTATGGCAGCCCTGTTTATAGCAGTGGTTTTCAACCACCGGTCCTCGCCAACCTTCCTGTCGGTCCGCCGAATATATTCCAATATCATATCTGAATTGCAAAATGCAAGACATTGATGGTCTGCCAATTTATTTTGTGAGTTTTAACTCCTATAGATGCATGAATGAAACTTGGTTGGAGGTCCTACGCCCATTTCAAGCACTGAACGGCTGGATGTTTCGTTAAGTCCAATGAATTTCATTAGAATTGCGTTCAACACGTATGATATCGAAAAGACAGCAGTAAATTTATCATTAAACTGAATTGTCCAATTTTGAGTTGAATACTTTTGTAGTAATGGAAATTGTGAGACGCATTTTTGATTACTGCAATTATATACTAAAACTATACTATACTTAAGACATATTGACAATTAAAGTCTTTAAATCACAAGGAAATCAATAATCGGGGAAACATCCATTACATCAGATTAATTATGTATTGTGTTTTCGACAATTTATGTTGATTTTGAAGGTTCACCGGTTCGCAAACTAAAAAAAGTTAAGAACCACTGCCGTATACTAAGTAACTGCTACTTACTCAAACCCGATGTTGTATCAACGTTCGTCATTGGTCTTTCAAAACCTGGGTATTCTTTTGTATGGAGGTCTAATATTGACGCATCTGGGAAATTCGGCAACAAAGTACTTGTACCCAAACGATTGAAACCCTCAGCGGATCCGTTTTGAAACCCTAAGGCAGCCATGTCTGACGGTAAACTTCCATTTCTCGCCATCGGTGACTTCATGTTTGCGTTTTGGTATTGAGAACTTGACGAACATTTTGTCGGTGAAGAATAATTCATAGACTTGGTTGGTGATAGCAATAGGTCGTTCGTGTTTGCGCCTATGTTACTATACGAAGTCAAATCTGAAGCATTTCTTCGCAGTTGACCTAAGTAACCATCTCCACACGCAAAAGCGTCTTGCGAGGTTGGCTTAGGTGACTTCAAAGTTGTAAGCTTCTGAAATACGGATGTATGCGTAATAACCATTAGTTACCAATAGAGAAAAGGAATTGACAATAAAAAAAAGGAGAAAAAAGTAAATTACACTAATACTTCGGCTGCTACAGAAGTATGTATACCAATATAGCGGTAACTAATTTTGTTCGCCTACTTTACATAAAGTTGTGAAAGGGACTGAAACCTATGGGCAGAGGGATATTCACATGGCTAACACAGATAGTCCTCTAACTCGTAATAGAACTGAAATAAGGGAAATCGGAATAAAATAATAGCCTAACCCTAACCTGGTACACATACTTCGGGAGTACCATATTTGGTGCTAATTGCCCATGAGAAAAAATTAATCACTAGTGCATATTTAGAATAAAAATACGGTAGCTTTGCGATTTGTTTAAAAAATAATTTGCCCAAACGACACTATTTCATATATAAATCGAGTCTTATAAATAAGATTAAAGTACGTCAAAATTATTTTCTAAAATTCCGAAAAGGTTCGTCTTATTAGGATTGAAAAAGTGAGCGGAGGACGAAATTAAAATGAAAATTATTACAAAATCATACCCCAGTGACACAAAACAACTTCTATTATCTTATTTTTTCAACAACAATATTTCGTGATCAAACCTCTTGATTTATGTTTCTATTTGCAGAATAACTGTGGGCTGGAGGAGGCTTCTGTGACTTTGTGACTGGATTTCTCCAACAAAATTGTTGTGAAGAATCATTTCTGAAATGCAAAGTTGGTTTCCTGGAAATCGTACGTAAGTAGTCACGACAGTATAATATTAGAAATTTATAAATTAATAATAAACTAATCAAGTATTTTGATATTTAAAAATTAGAACGATTTACATGTGTACATGTGAAACTCACGCCTGTCGGCCTAAGTCTATTCAAACACAAAGCTTTGACCGAGCTTCTTTCTACAAAAGCTGGGTTTGAGCTGCACCAATTAGACGCGCCTCAGTTCAGAAACCTGAGATGTGGAACAGCATAATTTAAAAACAACGTACATCATGAAATTTTTTTCGTATTCGGAATATAGTTTCAAATATACGAACTTAATCTCAGTGACATTTCACACGTCATTTATTCGCTTATACCCAGTCGTTCATGAACTGCATTCTTTACTCGCAGTCTCTACCGCATATTATGTAATTAACAAAAAACTATATTCTCACTTTAGATTTCAAAATCATATTTTCAAGTTACAAACCTTGTTTTTGTGGGACTTTCCGATGTTTCTCCCAAAATACTTGCTACGAGGTCTTGGAGGTCACTTTTGTCAGGATTACTGTTACTAAATGGACATGAATAACAATTATTTCAAATGATTAGATTGACATTTATACAAGTAGATCAAATTTTGGCGTTTTATAGCAGTATAGCAGCATTACAGCAAAAGCGAAATCATGAAATCGTCCGGAAAGAGTTGTAAATGCTTCCATATAATTGCCTGGTAGAGTGTCTGAAGTAAACGCATATACGTTACCAATTACCGTATTGTTCTGGCAAACCTAAATTTAAAGTTTGAGACACTTTCCTGATTTTCTGTCCCGTTTTTTTGATCATGGTAGCATTCTAAGTAAATTATCTATCTTATCTATTGAACTCAACACTCAAGATTTGAAACTGTTCTATGTGGTTCTAAATACGATACTGACAAATAAGACCCCGAAAACAAAACAGTTTGTTTTGTAGTTTTGAACATGATGAAAAAAAATATCAAAAAATAACCATATCTTACCCAGATTGGACATCATTTGGAGTTTCATCTGTTGCAGTCGACCATCGAGAATAGCCTGGTGCCGCATCCATATTGAATTATGCCGTTCAGTAAATCTGCAACAAAGGCTTAATACTTGACCGTAGTTCACAATACATTGGACAATATATGACAGTATAGTTCATATAAATTTATCGCTGATTTTTCATAAGTGCTAATTAATAATTGATAAAGTCCGACCAGTGAATATTATAAAACGATAATTACGACTTTAGCTGAAGTTTGCTAATCTCATACCGCGTATTTATTTTATATTTACACTAGTAGTGTAATTGTCAGTCTTGACTTTACTTGCAGTCACTGTACCGGACTATGAATTTACCCGTTTACGGGCAAAGTCTACTACGGTATCCCGCGAAGTTTATGGCGGTCTGTAAGAATTGAATAAATCGAGGTTTATAAGCTTATGCAAATATATTATAAACTTGGTTTTACTATCCGTAACAAGTTAGGCAGTAGGCCTGCTGCTGTTTCGACAGTTGGTAGCCTACTGCTTTGATGGAATTAAAAAAAATACAGCTAACGTTACCAGTACTTTACTACAGTACTACAGTTTGATTTTTACTATAAGACAGAGTTAGCCTATATCTCACCGTAAATATAGGAAGTATCCAAGTTGCGTGAACGCATATCCACACAATCTCTTTTCAAGTTGACGAACAGAAACACAAAACAAAAATAAGTGAAACTAACTTTGAATTGAAAGTCCCAAGCGCGCGCTGACGTCTGCAGTTGTTCAACGCGGTTCAACGGGTCGAGTTCATTGAGGTGGTCGAGTTCATCTTTGAGGTCAAGACATTGACGCCAAATTATGACGCCTAATTGACGGCTGACGCCACCCTGATTGGTAGATTCAAGATTGTTGTCATCGCTGCCACGTTTAAAAACGGTGGCGTTCAAACGGATCCTGGAAAGTATTTAGGTCAGTTATCAGCACATTCAGTGGCAAGTCTCACTAAATTAAAAAAAGATTAAAGTCTTGCCAATAGGGTTGGGATTTCGGGACCAGTTTTTGAAATCCCGGTATCGGGATATCCCGGGATTGAGACGAATAATCCCGGGATTTTTCGGGATTAAGTAAAAGATTTAAACAACGTGCATGACAATAAATGCACGTATTTATTTCATGTAATATCGACGCAGAAATATTTGAGCATCTAGGGCAGTGGTTCCCAAACTTTTTTAATATATACACTATTTAGCTCTTTAAATATTCGCGGCACACCTATCACAAGACACGAATATTTTCTACCCATGAAGAACTCTTTAGTGCAATAGTCGAACGCGAACAAATGGTCAATAGTTACCGATATTAGAACTGTTTTCTTACATTGTAAACGAGAGTGTCTTCGGAGCACCTCACATTATTGTAGTAAAGTTGTGCGGTCGCACGGGTAATACATGGTCTTCAAACGCGACGCTGATCACGCGCTTCAGTTTTGCTCGCCCTGCCCCATTTCCACGTTACACCCTTATTAGTATCGCATATATTCTCACTTTTTCACAACCTAATTCAATTTTGTTACAATTTAATATGTTTCTTTCATTGCCAAAATCATTCAATAGTGTTATTGTCGACAGTTGCGAGAGAAATGAAAGTGGCAAAGAAACTGTATTTCATTACAACAATTAATTATTATCGCTAAGAAAGAACACTAACTAGGTTTAAAGTAGTTATAAACAATTTTTACAGCTGGACGTATCCATTCACGTTATGAATTTCGTGCAAGGCCCGAGCATAATTTGATGGCAAAAATTATTTTTGTATTCGAGATATGGAATAATCGTTAATTCCACCGCGCTTTCGTGAAGCAGTGCAATTTGCTAAATTTATGAAAGATTTATCAAGTTTCAATGCATCAGTGTTTAGACTACCACGCGTTTCGCCAGATTACTTTCGCGTGATGACAGATCGCAAGGGTGGTCAAAATAGTCTATTTTCATCAAATCGAACAATTTTAACGAATTGTCTAACATCGGGTTGAATTCGGGATTTTATTCCGATTTTTACCTTTTGGGTCGGCTTTGATCTTTCCTGCCACCGTTTGTAAATTAACTGTCATAATTTTAAGCTTAATATGTTATCATTTTTGACGACGGAATGCGGATAGTGATGAAGACCGATAGTCGACCTTCTTGATTTTACTTTAAAAAGTATGGCTGTGTTATTTTCGTATTAAATAGTGAATAAAACCCCAAGTCATTGCGTGAATCCTGAATGCTATTTTGAATTCAAATTTTGATTAAATAAGTCAGCAATAATGACAATTCTACTAGTCAAATGATAATTCTTTGGTACAATTTGAGAAAAATTTTTCGCAATACTTCCACTTCCACTCGAACTGTAAGCGTGGATGGCTTTTTTAAAAATAAGTAATAAATAAAATAATATAACCTGCTTTTTGTTAGAATATCTATATGTGGATAACAAAACCTTAAAGTCCCGGGATTTTCAGGAAATAATTGCGGGATCGGGATTGACGAAAACAGTCCAAATCCCGGTATTTCGGGATCGGGATTTCCCGGGGTCCCAACCCTACTTGCCAATCATTCATCCTATCATCATACAGCTCGATTTCTATGTCGTGGGAAATAAACCTCACAGACCGAATTCAAAAAATAATATCGAAAACCATTGGCTTGAAGTTGCCGACCGAGTGGCTTTATCTTTCGCAGCCACAAAATGTTGCGTCACTGTCCATATTGTACCTATTATATTGAACTGTGTTTCTCTGTACTTTCGGAAATTGTCCCTCTGAAGAAGTCTTCAGTCGCCAAAATGGGTTGACTGTGAACTTACAGCCATTTTTTCAATGCCTTTTCTTATGTGGAAGTTCCTATCCCATACTGTTTTTCTGCCCGTATTATGAACCGCTTCCAGCATTGCATAAATCGATATTTATTAACACGCAATTGTACAATACAATTCCTTAATGTTTCAGTGGGTGGGCATTCAAGTACTGCAGTCGCACTTACTTCAAAGATTATTTCCTTCAATTTATAATTGAGTTCGCGTGAGAAGATTGAAAATTACATTATTTTTTCAATTTTATGTTTGCATCGAAAGTTACGCATTGGAAATTTCACGTCTTCAAAATTTCACAACCACAATAGTGCCCACAAAGAACTGGGAAGCATTTACATTTAGGCCTACTAACTTTTAGACTCGTCAACATGAATCAGCGCTGTAGGTGACGCATCATGGATTTCTTTCGAGGTCTTTTCACACAATTTAGATCATTTTTTTACACTTGTAATATGTTTTTCTTTAATAAATATTGATTGATAGATTCAGTTGCATTATCTCACAAATCCATGCCCAAGTTTTCATACAAGTGGGGCGCGAACATAATCAATTAATCCTGATACGTGGATTTGTATGGTGAAAAATACGGTCCTCCATCAGAGGTTACCCAAACAATCGTGCAGTGATAAGGAGTAATCATACGCATTCTCTTTCAATTCGAAATTGCCAACTCAATCCTGATGGGCGTTCCTCCAACCCTTGACTCCTGGAAAATTTTCCCCATACTTTACCATTGCAATATTTTTAACGCCTATGAAAGTGTTTTAAAGAGTTAGCGTTTACACACTGGCTCACATCTTCAAAACTATTCTTTTTAGCTTGAACAATAAACCATGTTCCGCTTACAGGTATACTGATGGCTATTTTAGGCTAGTCTGTCGCAGCTGCGGTACATTATCCATTTTTAGTTATTGCAATTAAACTAAAGATCCTCGAGAGACATACTGACAATTAGGATATTTGATTTACAACTATTTTTTGGAAACACAACTGAAAACTGACAAATAACACGCAAAATCACGAAAACGAGGCAATGTTTACACTCATGCTCGTACAAGTACGTGCCCACCCACCAAAAAAATAATAATAAAATAGGAATATGACGAGTATACAAAAATATGGACACGATTCAAAATCGGGCATTCCTCATAACTCAATTTAAAATAATAAAAGACAAATAATTGCTTGAATCAGTGGATAATTTACATGGAGTAAAATAAGTGTTGCTCTTGAAATAAGACAGCAAAATTTAGGTAGATAAAATTAAATGTAATAGAATCCAAACGACTTCCTCCGTCTCTGATTAATCAAAACATAATGTTTCAAATGTTCGTAAACGAATATGGTAGCTAAGAAATCGCCAGGATTAGCCTTGCATTAAATATATATAAATACAGCTGATCTCAAATGCTGTAAATTTTGGGTCTGAGATTCTTATATAGCATTGAAATATACAAGTCAAAATCTATGGCAGACATCGCTTGCTATCAGAAATGCAAAAAATCACCAAAAACTTATCAAATGTGCACAGATAAATAAATACATGGTTGGAAAGCAGCATGAAGTTTTGAATAGTGGGAATAAAAATAGAGTGACAATAGCTTGAAATAGCTGTGAATACAAATACCTAACAATGCGTGTCAATGTTAAAAGAAAATAGTGACTAGTAACTATTGCTACTCCATCGTAGGCTTATTGCTTGTTGGTCATCGTTACGGAAATAAACAAGAAAATCGATTGTCGGACGCCTGAATGAGCCAGACAATAAAGTTATTAATGGTTTTGCGAATGTGAAAATACGGACATGAAATTCTTATACTGTATCTTCTCATTAGCGTCTGCATCACAAATATTTTGTGAGATATTGGTCTGCAGACGTATGGATAAAAAGATTAGCCGGTATCCGATAGCATTCTTATTGACCAATCACGAGCTAGACTGGGACCGATGCGACCTGCGTTGAAAAGAGCCCAATGTTTTTGTTTGTTTACGGTGGTGAACAGCTGATGACTGCGACGGGATATTTAACGGTTTTTCAGCGTTCCTTGGACATTTTTCCCTTTTCTTTGTATTCGGTCCATTTCCAGATGAACTTCGCGATGTTTTTGTTTTCGCGTGTGATATCAACGGTGACCAACTAACAGACGTTGGCCGTTAGCTGAGACAACCGAACAAAGACTGAAAGAGTGTCCACGAGGCGAACACTAACTATCATTCATTGCAGTATCCAGGTATCATATCCAGTACAGCAGTATCTCTGATTCTGTTGGATTGGCACAGATCTGCAGATAGCATACTGGCATGCGGTAACGTAATTACGATAATAACAGTTACCGGTATCTCAGTTGCCGTAATGTGATGAGTTTTGTATTTCTGTATTTAGGCTACTTACAGACATATCGCAGGATTGTCATACTGCAGAACTGTCTTCAGGTTAGACAAGCTTGGCTACTGTCTGACTGACTGTTCGGTAGTGTACCAAGTAACTTATCACTCAAACTTACAGACTTATGACTGTATGAAGTAGCTTCAATACTCACATTTTAACATAGGGGCACATTCGCATTTTCACAGAAACAACAGTTTTTATGTCAGTAGACTATGTAGATAAAAAGATTTCAAACCGAACAAAATGAATACATCGGATGTGTATTGAATTATAAACATGTCGATCTAAAAGAAATGCTATGGCTCATTCAAATGGGCCAGACCCTCATAAAAAAAGGTCGAGGGCGATATGGTTTTCCATATGATTAAGGTTGTCACAATGTGGACTCTTCTTTCCTAGATGAGTTTTGAATAACATTTTATCCAATAGCTTTGATTTTATATAATTCAGTAAACTATGTTTCACTTCATGGCTTATACACTTGCCAAATAAAGATTGGTGCAAATATTTATTGAATATTTCAACACAGTTTCTTGTGACGTTTTATATAGATTTCAAGTCAGGTGTGACCTTGTTAAGTGTGATTCTTTGTTGCTTTAGTATTGTATGTGAAATGAAGCAGAAAAATATGTTTCAAGTAACTGTGCATTAAATCTGACTTAGTCAAATTCAAACTTCTATATTTTGTGTTGCCCTTTTAGTCTCATTTTGATTCCAAAATATAATTGAAGTAATCAAGATGTTGATAATTTTGCAATTTAACGAGCACTTCAACGTTCTGCTAATAACAATAACTTTTGGCATTTGATCTCTCAATCACTAATTTTCTCATATGGTAATTGGTATTCTAAAGTTTCAATTTGAATATGAGTAAAATATATGTATCTAAAAATCTTTGTTAGAAAGAATAATTTTGACTTCTGCAGTCTTTTATAACCCATTTGCGGTTGTACAAGCAACTAACATCAGGGTGTTGGTCATTGGGTGAATGATTACTTTTGTCAGCAAGATTGTTTTATTCCAATTGGTCTGCTCAATAATAAACATGTCTGGAGAAAATAGTATTTTCAAAAGTTTGTAGTTTCTAATATATTCAAATTTCGATATCTGGCATCTGGATATAAAATTTCAATTAGGTAATATAGGCAGTATTTGTCAATACTCGACTTGGCCAGCTGGCAGTTTCCAGCTGTGGGAATCATTAGCCTATGCTTTTCCAGTAATATCCTGCAAATTCTTTTGATTACAAATGTTTCAGTAGTGTAATGATGCAATGACATTTTTTTCATTTGGCGCTCAGTCACACAATTCACTTCAAACAAGGCCCTATGCAAGCAGTTACTGATATCGAAAGTTATGTCAGGAGCTACTGTTATGTGGAAGCACAGGAAGTCTTTCCTATTCAGTTTTACCTACCCTATTTATTAAACTCTGGGTGAGGTGGGGACATGAGATATGAACTCCAGGTATGTAGACTGCGATGCCAACAACGTTACGGGAATAAGTGTAACGCTGGGCCATCGCAGAGCCAACATTTCACAAATTTGTTATCATTGTCCAAGTAAAGTTAGGTTTTCTACGCATTTTTTTATGTTACCACTTACCAGAAATGCTAGTGATAAATAGTAAGTACACTGAGGTGAATGCGTATTGATTTTTTAGTTAATATTGTATTGACTTTACTGGTGTAACAGGCTTCAAAATTCATTTGTGGTAACTCATAATGAATGCATCTCAATTGAAATGGTTATGAGCTGTGGGTCAGGATTACAGTAATTTGGTATAACTTTTCATATCCACTGATTCTATAAGGTGTAATAAACCTCCCAACGCTGCCAACGGCAATTGGGATTTAATGGGATGCTCTGTAAAAACTTTTATCTCGTTTTAACATTGCATTTATCTATCTATTGCTTTTTTTATCCGTTATTCAACATCTTTATGCCAAGCAAGACTTTGAAAATGCAGCAATTGACATTAAGCTTCTGTTTTTGGTAGGCCGTGATATTTTCACTATAGAGCACACCTACATGATTAAATACACCAGGTTGTGCACATTAAACCTGAGCTAAAAATCATTAAATACTTTATCAATGTACCTTGGCGATTTCTCTCAATTCCCATAGTTGTAATTGTAATATAACAAAATCGTCTATCAATTTTGTTTTTGTTGGCATCAATTTGTTTCCAATATAAAGTCTGAATTCTTACTGCACATTTATGAGCAATATATCCCCCAAAACTTTATATATTGTCTCTTTACAGGAATTAGAAATAGGAATAAAGTAAATTAGTCAAATTTGAACTCAAAGAAATGTTAACTTTTTGGCCAAAGTGAATGTTGAAATCATTGCGTAAAAGACGACTCAGAAAAGTTCGTAGCGAAGACGACACATCTTCATCGCGCCAAGAAAAAGCTGGGACATCTCTTGACCATTTTGAGCCAAAGTTCAGCCGAAGGAAAAACCATTGGACTTTAGGCAATAGCAGTACTAACGATATGACAACCATGAAGCAGAAAATAGAGGTTTGTACAGTATGTGAATATACAAAATATTAATAAAGTTTATATAATAATGTAAAGTTTGTTTACAGCAAAATCTTGAGTCCTCAGGTAAAAGAAAGAGTATTGAGAGAAGGGTTACAGGCCAGACTGGATTCCATGGCAGGTGCACGCCCGAGGGCGCTAGCGCTCCGCAAAAATGCACGCGAGCGAAATCAATTTTGCACGCCGAAAATTTGCAATTGCTCACCAATGTAAATCGGTTTATATGGTTTTAAAATCAATAATCCAGTAATATAAAGATGCCAAAATATTATACCTCCACAATTGTCGACAAATACCAGCTTGCAAGATTTGGTCTGATCGAAATATTGCGAAGCAAAAAGACCATGGACCTTTCCCCAACCTTTGACCCGCAAAAAATTCCTCTCATTGTTACGTCCTTTTTTGCATCTTGCTGATTGGCTAATGTCACGAAGTAAACAAGGAAGTCGATGCTCGGGGAAAGGTCCATATCGTGTTGAATGATAGGAAATAGGAATCCCGTGAGAATAGTTATGGACGAAAAGATCGCCTCCGCACCAATGGCCAAGTACGGCTCTGATTCAGCGTATTTTTCATACAATAATTTTACACGAATGTACTGAACAGTACCGGTATCTAAAGTTGCTCAAACACTCCCAAAATTAGTGACAAAGTATGAAAATAATGTTTGGGGTCAAAGGTCAAACGTCCATTTTGCTCTAATTTGACGTATTTTTTATCCATTAATTCTACGTAAAAACACTACCAAAATTAATGACAAAGTATGTCCATATTGCTCTGGTTCAACGTATTTTTTATCCAATAATTTTACGCGGATGTACTGAACAGTACCGGTATCCAAAGTCGCACAAACACTCTCAAAATTAGCGACAAACTGTAGAAATAATGTTTGGGGTCAAAGGTCAAACGTCCATTTTTTCTCTGATTCAACGTATTTTTTATCCGATACCGGTAATTTTACGCGGATGTATTGAGAGGTATCTGATGTCAAAGTCAGTTGCACGCGAGTGCAGTTGTTTTGCACGTCGTGAGCTATAATTGCACGCCAGGAATTCTTATTTGCACGCGGGAATTTCTGATTGCACGCCCGATTTCTCGTTCAAAAAGGCCATGAAATCCAGACCGGGTTACAGGGTTAGGCACCTCTGATAAAATAGGAGCTTATAAAAAGTTCTATCTTATTGACAGAGATTATTAGGTTGGGTGGGGGTTACCACAAGACTTGAAACATCAACTCTACCAAGGAAACAGATGTGTTTTATTAAAAATAAGAAATTTGAAAGAAAGCTTTAGCATATAAGATTCTTTGACAAATAGAAGAAATTCTTGGATAAGCAATTCTGATTTCCCAACTGATAGTTACTTGACAATTATTTTTTCTGATATCAGGCTGATATTTATTCAGCATTCTCTTCGATTCATCATGAATGCAAATTTTTTTATGTTTGAATATCATGCTAGCCTTTTCTTTCATTAGGCTATTGATATTATGAAAAATCTCTAGAGAGCATTTTTTAATCTGACACTGAATTTATGATAAAATGGCAGTAGTTTAGCATAGGTACTCCCGTATTATGTGTACCAGGTTAGGGTTAGGCCATAGTTTTATTCCGATTTTTTTAGTTCTATTACGAGTTCAGGGACTGTCTGTGTTAGCCAAGTGAATATACCCCCCTGTTCATAGGTTTCAGTCCCTTTACAAAACTTGATGTAAAGTAGGCGAACAAAATTAGTTACCATAATATAGGTACACATACTTCTGAATCACCTCAGCATATTTTATGACTTATTACTATTTGTAAACTTACAATTATTTTCCATTTCATTCACAGGGTCTCCTGGATTCCGACCAACAAGCATTGATCAACAAGAAACTCCCGAAAGAATTGCTTTTGAGAATTTTCTCATTCCTTGACATTGTTACTCTTTGCAGATGTGCTCAGGTTTGTGTTTATTCAAGTTAATATTTGTAAATATTAGTTGTTATATAGCGGAGTTCATTATTAACAATTGCCACAGGCATGGAAATGACCTTTTTCTGAAGCAAATGTAGATCTGCGTTTTTGTGTTGAATGTTGCAACAAGCTCAATATTTGCAAAGAATTGTCAATTTGTCATAAAGATTTCAAATCCATTCTGGTTTAAACCATATTGATTTTATTTTTATTACTATAATCTTAGGCTGCAATTTTGCTTATTATTCAGCAGAAACATATCTCATTTCAAATATAATAACACCAAAGTAACAGCTATTTCTGTAGCTTTATTATTAAAATTTGTAGATTTATTGAGTTCAATGGAACACAATAAACGTGTTTGAATTTGAAAAGTGTTCAGCTTTTGTCATTTAATGACCTACAAGTTTGAGTTTAAATCCCCTTTGCTAAACAGCAGCACAAAAATTTAATATTTTTTTGTCTGCTGCCATTGTGATGAAAAATTTCTCCCAACCTATGTGCTTATTTTATCAATGGCTTTTCGTTCGTAAGATTGTATTCTTGGGTCTTGAATATTTTATGAATTTGTGAGAATGTCCCGTTCAATTTTTTTGAAGGATAAATAGTAATTTTATATCTGTCCCAAGACGCTGAACATCGATATTCAGTTACCAAGTATTTTCATATTCAAGGTTATGGTCGAATTATATATGTCTTTATCACTATTCAAACTACCAGATGCTTTATGTAACGCACTTAATAAACAAGAAAACTTTTCAGTCATATTTTTGAGTAATGTAATGTAGCTGTGAATGTACTTTATATGTTCATAGTTTACCTTATTATTTTTGATTTTGTATTTTAAGGGAGAAATAGAAATATTTTATAAGAATATTTTGAAATACCCACCTGGATTCAATTTATTTTTCAAATCTGAAATAAAATATGATGTTTCTATAAAATGCAAACTTTTGTAAGTTGGCCTATTATGACAATAATTTTCAAAATTTCAACCTTATTAAATAAATCTTTTTTGAATTGTATATTTTATTTAGATAGCTCTTCACTGGTAGCTTGTTGAATTCCCAGGTTGTTTATCAGACCATATGGTTTCACAAAAGTAAATTATTGACTGTTTTACTGACAAATACCTGTGCTGAGAATGTTCTAATATTTACACAGTCTAAGTTCAGCAAACATTTAATAAATATGTCTCAGCTGAGGTGTTGGCTGGTTTCATACCTAAATGAGCATATTGTTCACTTAAATAATAAAATGAATGAAACTATTTATTTTGTGTTGGTTTTTATTGTTACAGTCATTGGATTAATCGTTTTTACTGAAAGTTTGTTAAAAGCAAATCCACTAGAGCTTACTATTGTCGCGACTAAACAAACTGGTTGGTACTCCCGTACAATGCGTACCAGGTTAGCGTTAGGCCATAGTTTTATTCCAATTTTCCTTATTTTAGTTCTATCACGAGTTGGGGAACTGGCTATGTTACCCAAGTGAATATCCCCCTCCCATTGGTTTCAGTTCCTTCACAGAACCTGATGTAAAATAGGCGAACAAAATTAGTTATCTTCGTATTGGTACACATACTTCTGGAGTGCCAACAAACTTAAATAGCAATGGTAGTTGAAGTGATAGATTATTTCAGTATCTCTGGTTGAATATCTCTAGTTTAAATACTGTATACACCACCAGATCATTCACAATCATATGGTAAGTAGATAAAGTGGTAGGTGCAGCGTGAAACTTTGCATTCTTCTATATGAAAAAGAAGAATATTGACAATGTTGCAATTTTTCATATTATATTTAAAAACGAGTTTATTTTACATTTCAGGTTTCGAAATCATGGAACACTCTCGCACTAGATGGCAGTAACTGGCAGTCAGTCGATTTGTTCAACTTTCAAACTGATGTAGAGGTATGAATGAAGACAGAATTTCTATTTTAAGTTGCATTTTTCTATCTTTTTTGTATTGCATTTTGAATGAGCAACATCTTTCGTGGTTCTTGTAATTCCATGTCACAAAAACTTAACGGTTTGTACACACCTAACCCTTGCCTAATTAAGATCAAGTTAATTATTCGATTTTGATTCTTAAATCACTAAAATGCAGGCCGTCTTCCGTCAGGTATCAATTGAAACAAAATTTTTGGTTTGGTAATATGTTCCAACATAGTTCTTAAAGTCAATGCATAAAATCTTACTTTGAAGTGTGTACTCATTGTGTAATACTATTTACATTTTTCCATTTTCTCCAATTAGTACTGAATTTGATCATTTTTCTGCCTTTATATTCAATAATGTTCCATCAATTTATTTTGAAAATTGTTTGAAAACACACAAGACCCTGCAAATGGCAATATATTATTAGTTGAAAGACTTTTTTTCAAATTCAAATTTCAAGTTCAAATTTCTTTCAAACGTTCAGCATTTGTAAATTGAGTGACTGATTGAGTATCATTATAAAATAAAACTTCAGTACAGGTGAATGCTTTTTAGCTTTTGTATGTTTCATGTTATTGATTTAGTTGAACGGCAAAAGTATACAAACCTTCCAGTTCTCGATACCAGCTTTGACCTTATTTGCTTTCCAGTGGTTTTTCTTGTACTTTTCAGTATTTTAAATATTTGGTCGCTTTATTTGAGTATTGAATGATTCAACCATGGATATTATTAAAACGTCCATGTTCCATGAAAACACGAATTGATTAATCACATGATTTTGATGGAAGGAATGTCCAGTTGGTCGGAGCTTTTTTCAAACGTTTGGTGTTACGAAGCCTGTGAAAGGGTTGACTATTATTTACAGAGCCCAACCCAACAATAAATTTATGAAAATAAAAACAATGAAACACATTGTTACTTACCCTGAGTAAACTAAAATTACTTTACTTAATGACCTGGGTGTATTTGCTGCTTTGTATTTATTAGCAAATATTCAGTATTTTAATAAGTGAAGGAGTAGCTTGTGGAGCCCTTAGGTTGCTTTCATAGTTTCTTGGGGCTTCGTATGGAGCTTTTCGAGAACCTGTTGTTTAGAGCAGGGGTCACCAAACTACAGCCCGCTTCGTCATTTTATCCGGCCCACGGCGTCATTTTATCCGGTCCGCAATAACACACAAAAACTGGCTAAATTTTTTCCCAATGGATATTTTCACGAGCATCGTCTTCCATGTTTATGTCGTAACATTGGCCAATCAGCAAGATGCAAAAACATTTGTGAATTTATTGTATTGCATTGACAAAAATATTCATCCGGCCCGTGTCAACACAGTTTGAGTCATACCCGGCCCACGGTCAAAAAAGTTTGGTGACCCCTCGTTTAGAGTATTAAGTTTAACTATGCGTGCATCACTGATTAAAGTTCCCTTGATTCGACCCTATACCCACCGCTACCATCTCACCCAGATTGTGATGAATTGTGTAGACAATTCTGAACGAAAAGCAAAGAATTTTTGTCCTTTAAAAAATATAAAAAGATCTTTGTTCATCGGTGGCTTCTTGTATAGGGCCTTGTTCAGAGTAAGGGTTAAATATGTATATTTAAAAAAAAAAATTCAAATTCATAACATAAATGTGATTATGTCAATCTTGTGATAGGTGAACCAAAATCCCTTCAATATCCCATTTATCTGGTGATTTTATGTTTGACATATTTTCAACTCAATTGGTCTTAGTGAATTCTCATCTGCCATGACAAAGACTACAGACAGAAGGGATGGATATATTGTTCAATTTAGTCATAGTTCTTGTAATTTCAGTATTTGCTCATAACTTATGTGTCCTGTTTACATTTGAGTACATGTTAGATGTTACCTTGCTTTAAATAAATTCTCATGATAATTCTATGTGAATTAATATTTTTATGAATGGATCATAGCTGAATATTATCAATGAATTAGGACCCGTATAACGAAAATTGTTCACATTTATGATTAATATTCCTATTTTCAGGGCAAAGTCATTGAAAACTTATCGAAACGATGTGGAGGATTTTTGAAAACTCTTTCGTTGAAAGGATGTCATAATATTGATGATAAAACTTTACAAATATTCTCGCAACATTGTCGAAATCTCGACAAACTAATACTTGATAAATGTACACAGATCACTGATAAGTGAGTTGAAGATACCTATCATATTGTATTCATTCTTTCTATCCCAGCTTATGCCAGTTCTTTCCATCATCTGAACCAGGAGTGTGCAACCTTTAATACAGGACGAATAACTGGGCAAAACCGCCGGGCGCACCTCCGTTTAAACTTTCTAGTAGTTGCAAAAGTTTTGGTTATAGATCCTATGACATGAGTTGTTTGCATGGCACAAACTAGTTGTTAGGGCATTGTAACGTTATCTTAGGCATAGATAATAAATTTGGACTCCGGTATAGCAACGCAAAGGGATTGTAATTATTCTCACACACCAGATTAAACTAACTTAATAACTCCATTCAAAATTGGCACATCTTCGCGCACCACACAATTTACCCTTGTGGGCCGCATTTGGCCCATGAGCCACAGGTTGCACTCCCCTGATTGAATGTATTGATATTTGATTCAATTATTTTTCACTCTTTGTAAGTTGGGCTATATGTATTGTGCTATATAACTTGTATTATTATCAAACTTCATAATTTAAGTAACAAATATTAATTGAATTTATGTGTTTGAAATCTTCTTTCATGAAACCGAGATATTCATTAAATAAATCTATTTTCAAATATTATCTAATCAAGTAGGTTTAATGCTTGCATTGTATTGTCAAATAATCAATTTTGTATGTATGTTTCACCCGATGCAGACTTCTGCAGACAACTTTTTGTATTTATAAAGGCAAGAATCTCCAATAATTCCATGTTTGTTTTACCTTGGTATTCGTTCAATCTGATGTTTAAGATTCCAAATGCAAAAGAGTTGAGGAAAGTTAGTTTGCGCTAATGATTTGGTTTCTGCGAGACTAACTACTTATCCTTCTTCTATGCTTTTATGTCGGTGGATCCGTATGCATATGATGCATTGATGCTGTAGCAAGAGTAAAGATAACTATCCTAAGTGATTCAACATAAATATTTGTGTTAGTGTGCAGCAAGACTCTTGAATCACTCAAGATAGTTGGTTTGTTACACATTTATTACAGCTACATAGTTCAGATGTTACTACTAGTACCAATTCTCAACATTGTTTCTTTAACGAATCAATTCTCATTTTCAGGACATTATTTAGTTTAGGACGGAATTGTCCTCTGCTACACGCCCTTCACACAAGTTCTTGTTTATATGTCTCTAATGATGGATTGAGGCATCTAGGGTAAGATTTATTAACATTTGGTCCCAATAGTGATTTATGTATTATGAGCATATTTTGTTTGTTCGTGGCCAATCTGATTAATATTAGATTACAAGAATGTTCGATTACAAGAATGCAAGCGTTGATTAGTTCTCGGTTTCGAGAATAATTGGAATTTTTACATTTATTAACTCTATCATTTGGGGTTACAGGTTCCATTACATTTGAACCCACGTACATTTAAACTCGTAATTTGAACCCACGACAATTGCACCTGCATGTATGGGTTCAAATGTACGGTCACCGGGATTTTTTTCACAAGGTCCTTTTCTTACCTTTTCTCTTCACAAAGCCCATGCCCAAACAGATGATATAGGGATTAATAATATATTTGAAAAACCTTCTAATTTCTAGCATGGCTCACCTATTTTATTACTCTATCTGTGAGCGGTAGACACTGACATGGAATCTTTAACCTGTTTCTTCAGCTTTGTTGGCTATAGCAGTGTTTGTGGTTTCCAATCTTTTATGGCTTGTGGTCGACTTTCGGAGGCTTTTAGCACTAATGATCCCCTGTTTGTCATTACAGTGGTATTTATAGCGGTATTTTTATTGGTAGATTCCAAATCCCATGAGATTCAAACAATTTATGCTCAATAAAGTGAAAAACCCAGTGAAATAATCTTCTCAAACAATGAAACTGGGAAGATGGAGTTTTTGGCTTAGTGGGAGGGGTGAAGTCATCATGCTCTGTGGCCCGCTTGAAGGTTGGGAACCGCTGGTCTGTAGGATATTGCACCCTCTCTATCGTTCAATGTATTGATAAACTGATCTCTCATATCTTATGTAAAATAATGGCCTACATTTATGTGTTCTGTTCCTGAATACAAATTCTCTAACAATTCATCATTTTTTAAACAGTGAAGGTTGTCGGCATCTACAGTTCCTCGATATATCATGGTGTGATAAAGTAACTGATGTTGGTATCGACTATATTGCAAGAAATTGTTCAAAACTAAAAGGTCTTATTTTAACCGGGGTTACTCAGGTATGTCAAATAAAAAGCATATTTTCAAAGATTCGGTTGATTTTTTTTCCAATAGTGCAGAGGACTGTGCCCTTCTTCAATTGTTCATTACACAGATTTTCAATCCAGCCCACAAGCTCAACAAATTTCGATATATCAAGCCTTCTTTATTAATCTATTGGAAATTCTTAGTAAACTTGATACTTAATGCGTAAACATGTAAAAGGATTTTGCTCATTAGTGTAATCTAATCGTGCATTAGATTTTGACTCTGAATTCAGCTTAAATTTCTGAAAAATAACGAATTTCAAACTTTGGCGTTTGCAAGTCTTCTTTGATAATCCATTGGCAATCCTTAGTCAACTACCATAAGTGTTTTTTGAGTAACTGTCAAAAATTTTTGCTTCAATATGACCTTGAAAAATCTGAAAGTTGAGACTCCTGATTTCTGATAGCTTCTCAAAGTGGTTTATTCAGACCCCAGTGCTTCGTGAGAGAAACCCCTGGGTTTCGCGAGTTATTTGTTTACCTATTAAAATACTAACTTCCCTAATTTTATAACTGTCCAAAGAGGCAATAACGACATTAATAATTTGACAACGGTAAATACGTCTGATTCATTAAATAAAATAATTGCAATTTACTCTTGACAATTATTCAGTAAGTTACAATGTGTTTTTTTGTTTTTATTTGTTATAAATTCAGTGTGGGCCCTGTAAATTATAGTCAACCTCTTGAGAACCCCTGCTCTATAGGACGTATTGCTAAACTGATAGATGATGTCTCAAATCGGTGCTCTAGAAGTATGCACACCAGGATGTCGCACAACCTGAATCCTAACCGATACACACATACTATGTTCAGGTAGTGCGCCATCTTGGTGCGTATACTTCTGCAGATCCCTCAAATCACTAATATGTGAATGTGATTATATTATTTTGCCTTCAGATCACGAATGAAACTTTAAAAACTCTTTCTCAAAATTGTCCTGAATTAAAGCAATTGAACCTGCAGAAATGCACAGTAAGTTATTTCTTTTGGTGTTTGAGTGGAAGTGCTTTTAAGTTTTCTTTATACTTAAGTAAAATGGAGCTTATCAATGGTCAGTTGTGTTGCGAAATCCTTACTGTACGAAATCACCAATCACCATTCTAAGCTTTCTTGGTCCACCAACAGTTTCCTTGGCAGTATCAACTTAAATCGGTATCATCCGCTGTCCATATCTGTTTTTGTCAATCCACTGGCACCTCTAGTGTAGAACATAATGTTGCAGAAAATGCCTAGTTGGTTTCAATGTAAGTTTTGATTTCTTGCCTCAAATTTTGTTACAGAATGGAAATATTGGTATAAGTTGAGGAATTTTTTTTTGAAATATTTTCAACAATATCCGATTATTGAAGCGTCTTCAAATCCTATAATTATTTAAAATTACACGGTTATGACTTATGAGATTAAATTAAATTGACAAACCTGATTCACCTTTCATATATATTTTTGGAATTTAAGAAGTTGATTCGTAGGCCAAAGTTAGCGGAACATTGTGATTTATTAGGAATCTTTCACACTCGAACCATTGCTATATTATGGGCAGTGGCGTAGCCAGGGGGGGTTGGGGGTCGAACTCCCCCCCCCCCTTTTGAAATGTAAAAAAAAATCATTTTTCTGTATCATAGATAGCAATTTTTCGTAGTTTTAAATGCTTTTTATACCCTGAAGACCAATAAAAACACGCGTATTCCAGCGTTCGATCGGACCCGCTAGCAGTTTCGATCTAACTTGCCAAATAAAAATTTTAGAACCCCCCCTTTGAAAATTTCTGGCTACGCCCCTGATTATGGGTACAATATTATGACATCAACAAGATGAATACTCATTTTGATTTCCATTTAAGTCCAAATAATGATGTCGCACAAGATGGTAATTTTTCGAATCTTCAAATAAGGTTTAAGGGTCTTAACCAGGCATGGGCAAAGTACAGTTTTGTAACATGGCCCGCCAGACTGGTGAGCATAATTTTTGGCCCCTGGTTCAAAAACCTTGCCCACCTCTGGTCTAAATATATAGACCGGTACTAAAAGTATGGGTAATTTGACCCATGATACACAATATAACTAAAAAAACATGACGAGATACTCTCCAGCCAGGATTTATCAATTACGAATTGGTTTCTTCATATTAGGCTTTCAAGTGGGTCATTTCAACTCTAAACCAAATAAAATTAACAACAAAAAAATTTCTCCACTATGTATTACCAATATTAATTGAGAAGAGTGTATTTTTTTTTATTCTGTATTTATTGACTTAATTTTAACTACTTTGGTTATTTTCCATTGATTTTAGCTTACCGGTAATTAAAATTATTCATATTTCCTTGTTCTGCTCCACCTAATGTGTTATTGTATTTTGTTATTGTTATTGTTATTGATTTCCTATCAAGCTATTACTTATGTAAAATTCTTTCATTAATTTAGCCTTTGACATAATTTAGGGGGGAGATTGGAGGGAGTTGTTTAATTGTGAGCTATTCCTATCATGTACAATAAATCAGGGGTCAGAATGGCATTTTCATGTTCAACCCCTAGGTTGCAGGAAGCTTATAGGCGGCTAAATCATACGCCTTACCACGGTCTCTCATCCAGTTACCAGTCCATGTTGGGTATAGGAATAGCTATTTGTTTCAGATGCATGAACTCTATGAACCACCCTGCGATGGTGAAGAGGCTGGCGCAGTGGTGTGGCTCATCGTGCTGAGCGTTAGAAATACGCTCGTCATCGCACCTCTGATTACTCTGCGTGTGTTCGCAGGTTCGAATCCCATGTGGGGATGGTCATGTGCGAGAGGATTGCTGGACTCCTCGCCGCCATAGGGTGGTTCACGTAACCGCTGGACGGTTACGGCATCCTCCACCATCAAGTCCATGCTTCCGAAAACAAATAACTAACTAATCCCATACCCTACATGGAATGGTAACCGGACGAGAGGCCGTGGTTCGTCATATGGTTAAGCCGTCTCATCGACTTTCCTCTCCCCCAAGATAAATATGTAAATTATCTTCTTACGCCCAATTATGCAATAGCAAGTGCAATAGCAATCATGTTCTTATTAACGTTTGGATTCTGCCTGTCTCGCTCCATTGCTTACAAATGTTGAATGTGATGACTTTATTAGATCCAGGCAAACAAATGTATGAAATCACAATTCAAAGGTAATTTAGCTAGGAATGCTTTGATCCCATATATTCGATCTGCTATGATTGTAAATTTCGGTAGCCAGTGTAAGTAATTGTATGATTTGACATATTCCAGATTATTTGTGAGAAATATTTTGAATGTATTTGGTTAGAACATTTATCTTCCTTTAATAAGATCTTTAAAAGCTTTGCCTGGCATCTGTGATGTTTATTGGTTTAGATAAAATCAAATTAGCAAATTCAACAATAATAAGTACACATGATATTTGTGAATACTGTTTTATTAATGTTAAATTTGCTAATATCATGATAGACATATTATGTCTATATGGAAATTCTCTATAAAACACATCAAATTAAGTATCATTATTGATGAATTTCTTATGAGCTATATTTCTCAGGCATCTCTGCCACTACCGCAATGTTGCAGTTGCAAAATTGCAAAGATTGAATTGTGAAGAAAGCATATTGTTTCATAAAATTAATAGTTGTTTTCAGAATAAGGCATTGTATCATCCTGGAACCATTATCTACACCAGGGTGGTCCAAACCCAGGTCCGCGGACCGCGGGCCACATGTGGCCCGCCACTTCATTATCTGTGGCCCGCGTCGCATTCGAAGAAGAATCCAAAAATCGCATTTCGTATTGTTTCGTCATAAAATTAACCAAAAAATCTTTTGGCATATTGCTGCATCACTAATGTCACTGAATTGACTAGTGTTTTGGCTTGCTGAGGCAACTAGCGAAGTTCTTGGCACTATTGTGGCCTGCGCGCAATGCAAAAGTAATTTTGTGGCCCGCGGAACTGCCAATCTTGTACCACCCTGATCTACACAATGGTGTCCAACGCCAACCCTTTTGGTTGGATTCCTCCCTTCCTCTATTTTGGAAATTTTAGTTCCTCCCTCACTCTGCATAAAAACTACATTATTCGTTCAATCTTCAATGCATCCTTAGCTAGTAATATGCGCTGGTCGTACTCATGCTTTCACACAACTTAATTAACAGTGGTTCCCAAACTGCGGGGGGTTACAGGCTGTGTAATGATTTACTATGGCCGCCGAACCTGAGTGAAATAGTTTACCACTTTTTTTTTTCTAGATACTTCCAATCGTTACGTTATTATCACAGTTTAAACACGTGTACATTCATAACAATCTAGTTCGGTGTCTTAAATATACATACCGGTATATGCCACTTGCGAGCGCTCCCCTCTCCTGGCTCGCGAATATCCTTCATCTTCCAATTTTGGCCTGCAGTCAATATACTTTGGGTACCACTGGTTAGGGTAGTTCATATGTGAATGAAAAACAATTATAATAATAATAATAAAGAATATTAGTACCACAGCAAATACTAATCAAAATTCCTCCCCAAAAAGGACAAAACTTCTTCATGGTGGGGAAACGTTTACCGACACCAGGGGTATGAAACCTGTGGCCCAAAGGCCAAATGCGGCCCTTAAAAAAAATTTATACCGCCCACGAGACGTGCCAATTTTTGAATGATGTACAGCTCGCGAAACGAAGTTTCAATTAAATTTAATCTGGTACTTTGTGTTGCGAAGCAAATTTATGACTTTACAATGCCTTGACAGCTAACTTTTGCCAACAACACATGTCATAATTCATAAGATCAATAACCACTGTTTTCGTGTTTGCAACTACTAGAGAGCCTATGTTAAAGAAAGGTGTGGCTTGCCGTTTCAGCTCGCAGTTATTTCTATCTGACCCTCCTGTATTAGAGGTTGCACACCCCTGACCTACACCATTCGTTTTTTTTTTTTTTTTTGCTTGTTTTTTAAATAATATCTGTTTGTTTGTTTGGATTGAAATTATGAAAATCCCACATAAAAAAAAAAAACTCTTATTTTTAATCCAGGAGATAACTGATGATGGAATTCAACTTCTTTGTAAAGGATGTTGCTTGCTTGAGTCAGTTAATCTATCTGATATCACAAATCTACAGGTGAGATTTATTCTTAAGTTTGTGGGATTTGATGGAGAATTTTATGGTCTGTGCGAAACCTTTATGTTGCTTAAGTAGTGATGAGTAGAACTGTAGAAATTTTAGTAATAGCCTGAATGGAAATGATCTAATATTTTGGGTATTCTAGTATGATATTTTGAAATGTGGATAATGTAACTTTCCCTGTCCTCCATTTCACGATCAGGAATCTCCCTTGGTATTCCAATGTCCTTTGCAAATTGATCAACATATGTGCGTTGCTGTCTACCCACTTCTCTTCCCATCTCCTTCCCTCCGCTAGCCTGTGGGAGACTCCTTGGCAAGGTCTAGTAGCCACTTAGCCCCCCCCCCCATACAAGGCACATAAACGGGTGTCAGTATAGTCAAATTGGGCACACAAGCAACAAACAGCTGTAATGGTCAATTAGACACTTGGCTGCGGATGGTGACAATGGTCAGACAATTTTTTTTATGTCAGAAGTTATATGAAGTCTATTTATGTCTGGCCAATGGCCATCAGATATCAAATGATGACAGAATTATATTATATTATATAGAATAAAGAATTTGAATATCTTGACTTTTACAGATTTCTGCGTAATTTACAAAGGTCCCTGCTGAACTAGGCCGTCAGCCTTCGTATCCATATTTTTGACAATTTCTCTATTGTAATAAGCTGTAGCTAAATTTGAATTTGTTTCCCTTTGAACAGGACGAATCTCTTCGAGCGTTATCGCAATATTGTAATAAACTTCAAACACTACAAGTAGCTCACTGCACACAACTCACTGATGCTGGATTTGTTACATTAGCTAAAGTAAGTTTGGTAATTTTCTAGATTTTACAAAAATTAATAGTTCTCATGCAAGTCTGTGATAAATCGAGAAGCTATGTTTAATATTGCAATGCTATTTATTCTAAAGTTATTGTCACGTTTTTGAGAGGCTATGCTGATATATGCGGTTGTTGTGGTGTATTTAATGGTATGTGCCATGGGGTATTAAGTGATAATTAATGATGAATATTGAAATTTCGATAAAATAATTATTGCAAAGAAATAGACGTTTGAGCTGGTATATAAAAATAAAAGTAAAGCAATATTCACCTGTCACCAAAATATTCCAATAACAAGTTACAGAATTTCAAAAATTCATGTTTTTCTCGTTTTCCTAAAGTAGCTTTTTTGAGTTGATCTGTTTAGCCCATATTCCAAATCTACAGTAGATGACTATAACCTAGTTCTTATTATGACGCTCTTTGTTTTATGGAGTTCAAATAAAATATTTATAATTTTTAAATATTCCAGAATTGTCCAGATCTCCAGCGGATGGATTTAGAAGAATGTATTCATGTATCAAATACAACGTTACGACATCTTGCTACTCATTGCCCTGATATTACTGAATTGGTAAGAACACTACCTAATTTAAATCCTATATGTGGTGTTAGGTCTGATTACACCTATGGACATGGCGATTTCAAAAACTTCAGCGCAGTATAAAATCTAGGCGTGATGGTCTAATCCATGGGTTCTTAACTTTTTTTCTGTTAAGTACCCCCCGAAAGTCACGAAACAATCAACGCGAACCCCCAATAATCAGACCCCAAACAAAGTTGTGATAGATTGACTGAAAATTTACTGCAACGACAATTTATTGACCAACTGCTGTAACTAAATTAAATATTCGTGTTGATGTTATTGTCCTTGTCCTCCACCTAACTAATGAATTCTTGAAATCTCTTTCTCAATGCTTGCAGCACATTGTCTTTCTAGATTTCACAGTTTGGCTGAAAAGCCGTGCATTTCACATTGTTGCGTCACAATCACAACAAAGCTAGATCAGGGAAAATTTACGCTGAATTTCAATTTGCATTCATTTTCATCTGGTAGTTACTTAGTTTTCCTTTGTTAAAAGATATTGAAAAAATAAAAAAACGTGACTGCCATCCATGATTGTTGTAAATTGCTTGTCTGAGGAAGTCGGATTTTGGTCAGACGAAACGTTACATAAATACATTTGTGTTAGTGTGCAGCAATACTCTTGATTTGCATATTATGGTATTTTTATTCCTGCTACAGCATCCTTTCGTTATACATATGCTGATATGCATACGAATCTCTTGTTCAAAGCCCAATGCCTACAAATTACCCAGAGTTTGATAAATCAGGTATACAGTGCCAAACTGGGAATATATTGGTTATTCCAAAAAATAAGGAGCCCAAATGTGGTTTCTTGCACAAGCCTTTATTGCTGTGATGTCGTTGAAGCCTTATATGGGAAATTTTTCTTTTTCAGACACTATCTCACTGCGAACTGATCACAGATGAAGGAATAAGAGAACTCGGATCAGGAACTTGTGCAACTGAAAAACTCAAAATTCTTGAACTTGATAATTGTCCTCTTATCACTGATTATAGTCTTGATCATCTTATGAGTTGCCAGGTGCATTTTTCTTTATTTCTCTCTGCACAAATGGATTTATTTGAAAAAAAAAACATTTTATTTCTTTGGTGGCCAAAACTGGATAATTATATTATATATTTGTGTATTACCTAAGGCAGACAGTCCACTTACCTAAGGCAGACAGTCTCCGAACTCGTAATAGGACTAAAATAAGGAAAATCAGAATAAAATTATGGGCCTATGGCCCAACTCTAACCTGGTACACATACTTCGGGAGTACCGCAATTTGTCATATTTACTGTTTTGAATATTCCACTTTTCTAGTTTCACAGTAAGATGTCAAAAAGACAAATTAAATTGAAAAAATTCAAAATCGGTCTTAAAATCACCCACGACACAGGGTAGTTTCTTTGCCTCTTCCACTACTATTCAAGATCATGTATACGAAATAATTACTTGGATTACTATTCTCATACCTGACTTGTATTGGTAACTGGACAAGAGGCAGTGGTTCACCCTATGATTATGCTTTCTTATCGCCTTTCCTCTCCCCTTTGATAAATATGATATTCCTAACCATGTGTCTCCTCTTTCAAGAAAATATAATGAATGATATCCTAGACATCTTAATTTTAATTTTGTTTATTTTTCCAAATACAGCAGTATTTTCTGTAACAATATTCATTGGACTAAATAGAGCTAACTAATGTTTAATTCATTTTATCACAGAATCTTGAAAGAATTGAACTTTACGATTGTCAATTGATAACAAGAGCTGGAATTAAAAGATTGAAGGTAAGACGATATATGCATGCTGTGCATACTATATCAGATAATGGTTTTCTTCCTCAGGCATAAACGAAAATATGATTGCCTAGTTTGATCCGAATAGCTTTTGATTGATTTTTTTGATGCATGGTGACTTTTTTTGTAAAATTAATATGTAAAAAGCATGACTGGAGAATCTGTGACTCTGATTTCTGTTTCTGCTTGTGCATCGAGCTGCTTGGTAACCCAATTTTGTTTTTGAAAAATTGTATTTTTTGAGAGCCGTCAATCCAGAAAATTTGTAGATATTGAATGCCTCACTCATCGATGTATTCAAATTTTCTTCCTGAGCATGTCTACCTTTGAAAGAAAATTTGATTTATTATCCAAGATATTTTGCGACTTTTCGTGGAAAGCCATTGATTGATTGCATGAGTAGACATTGAATAAATCACTACCACTCACAGCATGTCTGTTGCATGTTACCGCATTTATATTCTCAGAAATTGCACTGCCTAAAAATCTGTTTTTGACTCTAAATATATATATATAAGGATCAAACCAGATTTATCTGGACAGTGTCAATTCACTGGGGAAATTTTTTAGCAACGTTTGTTCAAGTTTTCTTTCTAAACTGCAATCTGATTCTTGCATGCTGCATGTAGTCTTTGGAGCTTGCCTTAAGTTTTCAATTAATCAAAAAAAAATTAGATTTTTTAATTATACTTTCTGGCATTTCAATAAAAGCACTTCCCTAACTATGCCCAACTACAACTCGGAACTCACAAATCTTGAGACCTTGATTGGTATTGAACCCTTTTTAATGTCTGTACTGGCTCAGTTGAATATCTTATTGTGTGAGAATTAGTAACAAATCATAAACATAATCAGCCACGGACAACAGAAGAACATTTTTAGCTACCGGTTTCAGTTAATAAGAGTTATTCGCTACCCTGGCCGTAGGCAATTAACTGCCAGTATATATTAGCCATCCTCGGTATATATATTAAATTAAAACCATTTTAATTTTGAACATTTGTTGAAGCTTTTTCATATTGTTGAGTAATATACAATTGGTTGGTTGAGTCTGTTTCATTCAATCAGTCAGCAATAAACTCTCCTCAAATTCTTTAATCCAAAAAAATTGTCCATGAATTTATATTTTTATTTTATTATAATGTTTGTTTCGACTTCATGAAGAGGTGAAAAACAGACTAAAAAATACATAGTGAAATAATAATAAGAGTTATTTATTCAAGAATTCAGTTTCCATAAAATTTCTGTTTGCCAAGTTGATATGGTTTGTAAAATAGGCCCATTGCTTATAGTGAATTTCTGCATAAATCATGGTAAGTTTGTAAAATGGTTCAAATGACAAGGAGAGCTTCCTAGAGCAGTGGTTCTCAAAACGGTGGGGCATAGACATTTTTTTGAGGGGGCGTGAAGCTAATTAGAAACAAGAGAGCTATGCTCAAATATATGGCCACGTAGCGCCACCCAATGGCAATAATTTTGATGACGTTATAGCAAAAAAAAAAGTGATAGCCTTCTGGGGAAAAATTTTATCTTTAACCACTGAAAATTTCAAAGCAATAGGTCCAGTATTCGTAGGGAAAAGCGATTTTTTAAAAATGATGGAGACAAATAATAACAATAACAACATAATATTGTTAGATTTGATCTTGTCTGTCATATTTCCGGTATTCACATTTCTTCATTGTTTAGTTAGAGATTGCTGAGAGCTGTTGTGCTTGTATCTGTATTATCTTCGGCGTGGAGCATGTTTAAGAGTTCATGCTGTACGTTCAAAAATCCTATAACCAGGGTTGTCCAAAACGAATCGAATATTCGAAATTATTCGAATATCAAGGTATTCGAATACCTTTTCGGCTCATTTCCGAATAATTACGAATAGTAGTCACTTTTCGCCGTAAACACGGTGTTTCGTTTTACCGGAATCTTCAAACGACTTTTTACGCTTTCTCACGTATTGTAATGACGATGAAATAGAGTCGGCATTTTGATTGTTTATATTCAGCGCGAATGTACGTCGCATAGTGTTGCGACACATTTGCACGTTTGCGTTGGTGGACATTGCCGACATTCGTCTTTTAATTCACAAAATCATTTCCATTAGTCGAAAAATCGACAATCACCGTATTTCCCGGCCAATAAGTCGCTTTTCTTGACCCAATTTTGGCTTGATTTTTTGGGGGGAGGGGCGCCTTATTGAGAAAACATGTTTATTTTATTTCTATGTGGCCTGCTTATTTTTCGCATTAGTCTTCTCAAGCATAATTTGTGTTAAACCTTATATTTGGTTCTTATGGGTCTGCCAATCATGATATTTAATCGTAGGCCGGTTATCGTTACTTAAAAGAGAAAACACGGCCACCGCCACCGAGATAAAGTGAGTGATTTATGACCCTTTGGTTTTGCCGATGCAGCAGAACACAACAGGGACAGGAAAACACAGCTGTGAAATAACCCGTGGACGTACAGTGTGTTACTTATCACATTCCAAAATTATTTCAACATTCGGGTTAATAGGTTGTCCAAAATGATTGCCGTTTTACAACTTAAACAATATTTCTACCCGTCTTATTGGAGGCCTGTATGGAAAAAAACCTTTTTTGAGTGCTAAAAATAGACATCCTCCTATTTGCCATGTGGACATATTAGCCCGGAAATACGGTATTTATAGCCGTCATTGTTACGATATCCAATAAATTGTCACAAGTTGGAAAAACAAGTCATTTATTAGAAAATAATTTCTGGCAAATATTTCTGATAACGATAGTTAAAAGTATCGATCCTTTAGCAGGATGATTTTTTGTTGCGCAAAATAATCCAATCCATGACTGGTACCAGCATTTAAAATGTCATGCCGTATTAATTTAATTCTGTTCAATGTAACTCATGGTTGTATCGACAATATGTGGACATAAAATGTGTGGTAAACTGACCGATAATATTAAATATTGATTTCCATTTTTATATTGACAAAATATTGAAAGTATTAATACCAAATACCACGGGTATTTGTGGACATGAAATACGTGGTAAACTGCCCAATTATAATTAATTTCGGATTCGTATTTACAAAATAATAAAACTATTATAATTCTAAAATGCAACGGCGATCTGTGGCCTTAAAATGTGTGGTAAACTGCCCGATTTACCAACATTTGAGTTATGATAATAGAATTAAATTAACACGGTCAGGCATTTTTAAAATATAATTAGTTTTTGATTCTTATTTTACGAAAAATTGTCACAAGACGGAAAAAGAATTTATACTTTATCCCACTCTTGGGAACTAATTTGGATAATGTTTGCCATTGGTTTGTATTTAAGAGTATGGACTTTTTACTAGGATGATTTTGTGTTACGCAAATATTCAAATCCATCATCGATACCACTATTGCCGTATTAATTTAATTCTGTTAACATGACTCTGGTATATAAAATATATACTGCAATAATCTGCAAATATGAAATGCCTGGTAATATAGCTAGGTTGTAACTTGTAGATAGCAGTTATTCCATTGCTTATTATATGGAAATTCTTACATACATTTAGATAAGCTTCAATTAGTGGATTTTATTTTCGAAGTATTCGAAATTTCATATTCGAAAAAAATAATTTCGAATGTATTCGAAATAGTGAACTATTCGATATTGGCCATCCCTGCCTATAACCTCTTCAAATTTTAATACCATTTCCATCAACGTATTTATGCGAAATTGGGTTTGCCACACTAGTACACGTATACTTCATGCTGTATGTTCACAGATTTTATAACCCTCCTTAAGTCCTTACAATTGTCAACATGTATGGAATGTATCGAATTCTGGGTTAAATATATGCGCAAGTAACAAAAATGTGGGTTATGTTAGTTACTCTTCTAATTTTAATGCCATTTTCATCAATGTATTTATGCGGAATTGGGATTCCCACACTAGTACGCGTGAAGACAAAAGCTTGGAACCAGCTTAACTGTAAATGCGATTTACGATGTGCAATATACAACACAAAACCTCGAATTAAACATCTTGTCAGGTGTTCTGCACTAATAAAAAGAACAACAAATTTTGCTTGCTTTAAAAACTTTTAATTTATTTCATTATTTACGTTACATTCACATAATTTCATGATTGGTGAAAATATATCTTCGTATTTTCAACGTTTTTTTCAAATAGAACATATTTTTCACATTACTATCTGTTATTTGTACCTTATTGTTAGTTAGTTGTTTTTGAGGTGGGGCACGAAACTTGATAAATTCTAAAAAAGTTTGAGAACCAATGTTCTAGAGTACAAATGAAGTACAGGTGAACAATTATGAATGTCAAACCACTATTGACATGTTGTGTTCTTAACTCTTAGATGTTCTTATTGTTTACTAATCTGGATCTAATTTCGTTAGACTGATTTTTCGTTTTGTTTTATTTTCTTTTATGTTACAATGGAAATCACTGTCGTCTTGGCAACACTTCTCTGCTACAAACGTCTTCGTCTGAAATGGTCACCGCTTTGATGAACTTGATTGCTGTTTTGCATGATTTTGTGCTGCTGTTTTTGTGTTTATGATCTTTTTTTTGTTGCATGTGCTGTCCATATTCATTTGTATTTTCTGTCTCATATCTAATTGTAGAGCCATTTAAGACATGTAAAAATCCATGCTTATTTTGCACCTCACACCCCTCCCCCATCTGTGAGACCACCACCTCAGCATCGAAGATTGTGTCCCCAATGCAGATGTGCTGTTTTGTAATAACAGGGACTCCTTTTGTACTTGGAGTTTAGCTGTAAACCTGTAGATTTTTTATTCATAATGTTGTAGTTCTGTCTAAGGGAATTTTTTACCATAAACAGACTGGGCCAAAAATATAGTAACACTACTTTTGACCCACTGGGGGTCATAAATTTTCTGGAGAGTTGTCAATGACCGTAATTGAGCTTTTCTTGACGATAGCTTTTTGTAATTGTGTGTTTTTATTAATACAACTAGTTTTTACCATATAATTTTCATATTCCTATCATAATAATCTTGTTTTTATTTAGAATGATTTCGAAAACTTATTTCGATTACTCCTTTTTTTACATAATATTTTGAGCATGTCAAAGTTTTAAGTTTGCTAAATTATATAGAAATATATCGTTTGCATGAAAAATGCGGTGTCGCTATCAATCATGTCATTTGTGTGAAAATCATGTCATGCTTGCTCTAATATGTAATATAAATACCGGTATCCACATCTTGAAAAAGAAAAACCAAAGTTTCTCATGTACCATTTTTCCCTTACCAGATTTGGTTGAATTTGTTTTTTTTAATTCTTCTGCTCACTGAGAACCACTGGAACAGAGCATACGCTGTGGCAAATGTGTCCCAGATTATAAGTCATTTAAAGATGTCTTGATACTTTGGGAACACTGATTTTTTCTGAGTAGTTTTATTTGAAAAATTCTGGCCACATTTTCTCGTACTATCCTTTGAAAATAGGTCCCCTCCCAGATCATAATTCATTAAATATGTATTGATACTTTGGGAACACTGATTTTTTCGGAGTAGTATTATTTAAAAAAAATCCTGGCTACATTTTCTTGTACTACTTTATTAGAATCATCTACCAAGACTACGTGTCCAAGCATATTTTGCTCCTCATTCGCCTCCCCCTGATATTGCTCGTGCACGTCCATACAGAAGGAGATATTGTAGATGCTGCACTATTTTGTGAAGTAATCAAGACTATTATCATGGATATTTCCAGTTTTAGGGTTTTGCCTATTTCTATCAGGTAGCATACATGACAACATAATACATATTCTATCTGTATGTGGACTTTCAAAAAGTAAAAATGATTGTGTGTGAACATTACAATTTTCTGGTATTTGAAATGAACATTGGTCCTGTATTCTTGTGTCTTTAATTTATTGAATTATTATTTTCAATACTTACTGGTGATAGAACATTACTTCTTTGGCCAAACATTTCATTGACTACTGGATTATATGGCTTGGTCACATTGGTACCTGAATAGGATTATTTTCATTCCAAAAGAAGCTTGTTGGGGGTACAAGCCTTTTCTGAACATGATAAACTTTTCTTGGGACTTGGGGAATGATTATTTTCTTTGGGGGTTTTTCATAACTTCTCTCCAACCAAAGGTCTCGGCAAAAAGCTGCTGGTAGAAAAGCAATTTCTCAGTCGAGCTTTTTTTACCCTGAGTGAGGTGAACATGAGTTTTGAATCTGATGCTTTTGACCTGTGCCAACACAGTTGAGTCCAACAGGCGATCTTTTAATATTACCGGTATGTGAAATTTTGCTCAAGTCTCATATAAACTCATCTCTGAGTCACTGTAGCCCCAGTATACTGTGTATGTGTAAAACATATGTATGTATCAGAAGTTTTAAATTTAAAAATTTGATTAACTTGGCAGTTTCTCTAAATTTTACAGCTGTTTCTTTCAAATAGCCTACCTTTTGGGGCTAGAACAATAATGATCAGTTTAATATTTCATGTTCTCATATTGAGACAACAATGACATGTGATTAATTTTTTTTTTTGAATCTTACAAATATTATTTTAGGCGATAATAGTGGAAAACTTGTTACTTATGTATAAATTAGTTAGTTTTGTGCCTCATGCCTGACTAGCTATTTTGCTTTGAACTTTTTCTTTACAAAGCCTACCCGGATCTTTTGTACAAAGCCCATGTCACCAATGCAAAAATGTGAGATTTGAGAAAACATCCCCGCCTCGTTTAAAATAACAACTTAGTAATTAAATATTCAGTCAGTTTAGGGTTAGAAATGATTAAAATTTTGAATTTTCTGCGCAATCTGCATCCCTAACCTTAACCGGATAATTACTAATTTTCCTATTTTGAGCATTGGTGGGGGATTCGTACAAAGGATTCAGCCCACCCACCCCATAGTTTGATAATTTATCTGTTTTCCTTGAATATTTGGAATGTTTTCACCCCGTGTTGCCTCAAGGTTATCGGTACGTAAGAGTTGGTTCTGGTACGTACAGCAGAAAATCATATAGCAGCATTAATTTTGCTGCATACTGGTCCCAAGTTCAATTACCTTGAAGTATTATTGGGTCTGGTCATATGTGGCAACTCTCATGGGTCATGTGAAAATATATTCTGTCCTTAGGAATGTTTTTAGATCTATTTATTTGTTTGAGAATTTGTCAAATCAAATTTTAGATTATGTTCAACACTTGGGTTACTGAGAATCTTGTTCCTGCCAAAGCCCATTTCACTCACTTCCATATTCAGCATAAATATCACCATGAAGCACCATATAAGCCTAATGGTGCTCCTGAAGTATGTGTACCAGGTTAGGGTTAGGCCATAATTTCAGGTACAAATATTACGGGAGTCACTCGGCTAGTCTCCCAAACTAGAAAAATAGAACTAAAATAAGGAAAATTGGAATTAAATTATGGCCTAACCCTAACCTATTACACCTACTACGTTCAAGTGTCTGCCATCTTGCTATGCATACTCCAGGAGTACCAGCTAAACTTGTTATTATGTGATTCAATCTTAAACCTTCATTCTGACCTTCAATCAGTTTTGCTGGCACCACTTTGGCATGCGAGACACTCTCATGGAATTCAGTTCCCAATCCTCTCATCATTGGGTTAGGTTTAGATTAATACGACCATATATCCTTGTTTATAAGCGGACCACCTAAAAACGACCCTGAAACTTCGAATTTATAAAAATTTGCATATAAGCCGACTAACAACTCGCAACATGCCCTGTATACAAGTTGTAGCTGTTGGAATCAAGTTAGCGTTTGAGTGCGATCAGAGTTATGCGTGTATTAGCCGAATTTTAGTGCAAACTTTTTTTTTAGTTTTTAAAAGGGTATATATATACGGTAAATTCCTGAGATAACACAACCTCTGAGCTTGCATCGACTCTGCAAAACAAAATTGGCTGTTATGTATGCTCCTAATATACATGGATTAATAAATCTTGAATTATTGACTGTTCTTCTGTAGTTTATAGCCTTGATTATCAAAATTATTGTATCTTTTCTTTTCATATGCTCTTTTTTCTACATTTAAATTAGTGTGAAATGGCCTGGCATTGGAATTTTAATTGTAATGGTAAATAACAAGTGGCTTATACTATTTACCTTGAAAACTTTCTGATTCTGTGATTTTTGGCACTAAAATCTTATGCCCTTATCAAAAATGATTATTCATACTATCATGTTTTACCGTAGTTATTATCTATCTTCCCACTACAGGAATATTTAGGCCTTTTGAATTTTTTATCAGAATTCATACTGTTGGCCAGGTCGCTTTATTGATGTATTTTTTCTATTCATTTTCTTTTATATCCCTGGACCAAGAATACACTTCTATTGGTACTTTATTATATTTATCATTTGCAAAATGTCTCTGAAAGTATTATTTTTTCCCCGCATCTTTTTTGTATTTTCTCATTCGCCAGGAGTACTTAGTGTGTCGTTATTACTTCTCATTGCCGTTATATTATTATGTCGCTTATTGTAAATGTAATGTGAGAAAAATTCTCAATAGAAAATATTGTTTCATTTTGTTGAAGTTGGTTTCTGTGAGCGGATTGGACTAGATATTGTAGTGTAGGGCACTATTTGCACCCGGCTAAATAAGAAAAACAATGTGAATAGCGCTAGCTTTACTAGCAAATAATCATACTTGGCTGAGAAAGTGCGTATTCAAGGCTGTTGAAATATAATTTCTGGAAAGACTGGACCACATAATTCTGAAAGTTTTGTATACGGATCTATGGTAAAAATTGTTAATTAGCCCTGCTCTAGCGTATGGAATTGGGGCGCTCCTCCATAAGTGTGTGTACCAATATGAAGGTAACTAATTTTGTTCGCGTACTTTACATCAAGTTGTGTAAAGGGACTGAAACCTATGGGCAGGGGTATATTCACTTGACTAACACAGACAGTCCCCGAACTCGTAATAGAACTAAAATGAGGAGAATCAAAATAAAATTATAGCCTAACCTTGCACACACTACGGGAGTACCTGAATTAGATCTTATACTGGTGTAAGACTCCTACTCACCTCTGTGTATCCTGAAAGTAAAGAAGTTTCGCACAAGCCCATAGTTCTGTAAACAATTTTAGCTACATTGTTGTGATTCACAACATGCCACTATAGTTGAAGAGCTGCATATTAAATTATGGTTAACAGGTAGTTTTTACCATTTATCTGGCATCAGGTTTTATCTCCAATGATTTGATTAATTTGCTTAATAGAATGTGAACGAACTTCTCCATGAAGCGTGAGACGATTGTACACATATCGTGAGCAACCTCCAGTACAAGCAATTACATTAACAATCTGTTTGTATCAAACTGCCAGGGGGGGGGGTTGTATAATGACGCTCACTCGTGCCTTTTGCTTGCTCCAAACTAAGCCAGATAAAAGGAGTCACTGATATCCAACAATATCTTAAAGAATTCCTCTGCAGACATACTTCACTGTCGAAGCTATCTAAGGCATATACAGTAAGCGCTCATTTCCATCCATCTCGTTTAGTTCGTTTGGCGAAAGGATTATTGATAGCAAGACAGGAAACATCCAGCTCTCAGTAAATCGTTCGAAAGTGGAGCAAAATGGTGTCAGAAAAACCGTATAAAAATATGCCTTGCTGCAAAATTGAATTTTAACAAAAAATGTGACCCCCCACACCCCCCGACTACGCCTATGGTTTGAATAACGTTAATACATCGAATGTTAACCCACTTTGCTTTTCCCATGGAGTGCAAAACCACATAATATATTTAGCTAGCAACCTTTACCTCAGTTGGTGTGGCATTCAAAGAACATAATTGAATGAATAATTGTTTTTTGTAAAATAAGGGTACTCTACCCTTGGCACGATAGGGGTTTTAAAGCATGTGTACTTGCCTTACCCAGATTGCTTATATGCATGCAATTTTTCAAGATCAATTCGCAAAACCAGGTTAGATTAAACACTTGAACACTAAAGATCTTTGTAATGATTATGTATTTTGAATCTAATTGAAGGTTGATTATGGCTTCAATGTATTCCTATTAGCACGCTCTTTTGGCCACTCCAACATGGACTTCTGTCAGAAGGCTTTACTGCTGACTCATTTCCTGTCAGTCACCATCTGTCTTTCACTTGTCATAAATGTACAGTTATAAAGACAAAATTGAGATCATGAAATATCATCTTCTTGACTGAAATATCACTGCTAATGCCTAGTAATTCAATGAAAAATGAGTTTCCAAGATTTGCTCTGCCAATTAGAAGCATTTTGAAATGAAGTAACTGAGCCTAGATTTACAGCCAATAGGATAGGATTTACATATTTATCCCGGGGGAGAGGAAAGCCGATAAGACGGCTTATCCATATGACGAACCACGGCCTCTCGTCCGGTTACCATTCCAAGTCGGGTATGGGATTAGTTATATTGTTTGTTTTCGGAAGCATGGACTTGGTGGTGGAGGAAGCCGTAACCGACCAGCTGTTACGTGAACCACCCAACGACGGCGAGGAGTCCAGCAATCCTCTCGCACATAACCATCCCTGCATGGTATGCGAACCCACGCAGAGTAATTAGAGGTGCGGTGGCGAGCGTATTCCTAACGCTTAGCCCGTTGAGCCACACCGCCGCGCCCAAGACTCCCAATCTTTGATATTTTCCATAAACACCAACTGCTTGCTTCATTACTGAAAGTCCAGCTATGCGAAAGCTATTTGAAATGCAGTTGCCCCATGCTGACCCCCAGTTAATAAATAGCCAAACAACTACTTTTCCTGTAATCATGGCAGATTCACGTTTATTTTTCATAAAACAGTCCAAATGACAGCATAAGATAACAACACATTAAATAATGAAGCACCCACTGCTCAATTCCGGAGCTTAAACTGAAAAACGATTAATATGGCACAAATAGAACAGAAACAGAAGTCTTTTTCAGATGGTTAATTTACACATAAAATTGACCAGAATTACAGACTCTGGGTAACAACAGTATGTCTCATATAATGACCTATTTCAGACAAACAAAAAACTGGCAGATACAGTTAGCAGTGAGACAGAACATGCTCTAGCATGTTACGGAAGTCTTTCAAAACAAAAACATTTTCTGAATATATAATAAATCATCATAATGAAATAAAAATAACTGCAAGTCTACTGGAGCCAAAAAAAAATTCTCGACTTGAAAAAAATGCAAACAATTTTAGCTGCATTGTTGCGACATCCACAGATTCATTGCGCTCTGTTCAATATTACATACAAGTTGTTGACCCCCACCCCTATTCTGAAATACCAAGCCATGGTTATATATAGCTTGAAATGCTTATTTGATTAACTAAAACAATCACACAGTTTCAAACAATGACATGCCTTATAAGTGGGTGATTAAGAACAAACATTATATACAGAGCAGGTGCATAGCTAGGAAATTAAAATTCATTTTGGAAGGCACATTGACCCATCATAAATTTCGTAATTATTGTAGTTTATTTAGGTTCACTCAACCCTTAATGAAGAAAAGTTAGATGAAACAGGATTTGAAAGAGCTATCTAACATAGGTGGGTGATATTTACTGTAAGAACGAATCTTGTTGGAACAAAAATATGATTATTAAACTTTTACAACCAATGTTCAGGGATGGCCAATATCGAATAGTTCACTATTTCGAATACATTCGAAATTATTTTTTTCGAATATGAAATTTCGAATACTTCGAAAATAAAATCCACTAATTGAAGCTTATCTAAATGTATGTAAGAATTTCCATATAATAAGCAATGGAATAACTGCTATCTACAAGTTACAACCTAGCTATATTACCAGGCATTTCATATTTGCAGATTATTGCAGTATATATTTTATATACCAGAGTCATGTTAACAGAATTAAATTAATACGGCAATAGTGGTATCGATGATGGATTTGAATATTTGCGTAACACAAAATCATCCTAGTAAAAAGTCCATACTCTTAAATACAAACCAATGGCAAACATTATCCAAATTAGTTCCCAAGAGTGGGATAAAGTATAAATTCTTTTTCCGTCTTGTGACAATTTTTCGTAAAATAAGAATCAAAAACTAATTATATTTTAAAAATGCCTGACCGTGTTAATTTAATTCTATTATCATAACTCAAATGTTGGTAAATCGGGCAGTTTACCACACATTTTAAGGCCACAGATCGCCGTTGCATTTTAGAATTATAATAGTTTTATTATTTTGTAAATACGAATCCGAAATTAATTATAATTGGGCAGTTTACCACGTATTTCATGTCCACAAATACCCGTGGTATTTGGTATTAATACTTTCAATATTTTGTCAATATAAAAATGGAAATCAATATTTAATATTATCGGTCAGTTTACCACACATTTTATGTCCACATATTGTCGATACAACCATGAGTTACATTGAACAGAATTAAATTAATACGGCATGACATTTTAAATGCTGGTACCAGTCATGGATTGGATTATTTTGCGCAACAAAAAATCATCCTGCTAAAGGATCGATACTTTTAACTATCGTTATCAGAAATATTTGCCAGAAATTATTTTCTAATAAATGACTTGTTTTTCCAACTTGTGACAATTTATTGGATATCGTAACAATGACGGCTATAAATACCGTATTTCCGGGCTAATATGTCCACATGGCAAATAGGAGGATGTCTATTTTTAGCACTCAAAAAAGGTTTTTTTCCATACAGGCCTCCAATAAGACGGGTAGAAATATTGTTTAAGTTGTAAAACGGCAATCATTTTGGACAACCTATTAACCCGAATGTTGAAATAATTTTGGAATGTGATAAGTAACACACTGTACGTCCACGGGTTATTTCACAGCTGTGTTTTCCTGTCCCTGTTGTGTTCTGCTGCATCGGCAAAACCAAAGGGTCATAAATCACTCACTTTATCTCGGTGGCGGTGGCCGTGTTTTCTCTTTTAAGTAACGATAACCGGCCTACGATTAAATATCATGATTGGCAGACCCATAAGAACCAAATATAAGGTTTAACACAAATTATGCTTGAGAAGACTAATGCGAAAAATAAGCAGGCCACATAGAAATAAAATAAACATGTTTTCTCAATAAGGCGCCCCTCCCCCCAAAAAATCAAGCCAAAATTGGGTCAAGAAAAGCGACTTATTGGCCGGGAAATACGGTGATTGTCGATTTTTCGACTAATGGAAATGATTTTGTGAATTAAAAGACGAATGTCGGCAATGTCCACCAACGCAAACGTGCAAATGTGTCGCAACACTATGCGACGTACATTCGCGCTGAATATAAACAATCAAAATGCCGACTCTATTTCATCGTCATTACAATACGTGAGAAAGCGTAAAAAGTCGTTTGAAGATTCCGGTAAAACGAAACACCGTGTTTACGGCGAAAAGTGACTACTATTCGTAATTATTCGGAAATGAGCCGAAAAGGTATTCGAATACCTTGATATTCGAATAATTTCGAATATTCGATTCGTTTTGGACAACCCTGCCAATGTTCATCAGTTAGTTCAAACTGAATGAGTAGCAATATACTGATACAGATGATGAAAATAGATTGGTTTCAGTGTTTTACGAATTCAGCAGTAAATATAAAAAAAATATGCACAAAGCAAAAATATTCAGGCAGAATTTAATGTCACGCTTGAAGAGAGTATACGTTGATTTTTGATTAATATAAATAAAGCATTTGTTGAAGCATGCGATAGATAACATGGAGCAATATAAGCAGGAAAAAACAAAATAGCAAAGTTCAAATTGTTAAAAAATTCAAAATATACTGTTTGTTAGTGGGACTAAACGGAGGAAAGTGTAGATATGTTTAAAAACTATTTCACCTAATCGGCAAGTAAAGAGAGAGAAACTGATGCACTGGCACAATCATATGACAAACCACAGCCTCTGATCCGGTTAACAGTTTATAAGGGTATGAGACATTTAAACAGATATTTGTCTCAGATGCATGGGCCTGCGGAAAATGCTCAGCTTTATCATGGTGAACAGTCCATCCAAATTTGTTGGCTTCAGTGATAGATTATAGACACATTGCTTCCTTTAAACTTCAATTTAAAAATAAATACATTACATGTTTCTTCGATAATATTACTGATGGACAGTTCTTCAGCCAATAAAGGTTAAAGTAATTTTAAAGTTCTGTGCTTTTCGACGTGTTTGTTATATTTATTTTGTCAACTGCTGTACTGTACAGATATTGGAATACACCTGTCCAAGATGTAAACCTATACAATCCATAACCCAAACCAAAAACAAATGATAATTTCAGGCACATTTTTATCGCTTTCTTCATCCTCGATTCTTGAGGAACTTCCATTAATTTGTTCATTTCTTCTAAAGTAATTTCTCTGGGAAAATTTTCTTTGATTCCACCTACATGACCGAGTCCTACGACTCCAACTACAACTGTTGGTTTTGATCCAGTTTCTGTGCAAATTTCATTTCCAGCTGCTAATTGAAGCGAATGGGCAAGATAAACATCTCTCTCTGCAAGAAATACGTTTGTCATTTCTGGAAATTCTCCCATCATTTCTCCCAATGCCTGTTCAAGCATATCCTTCTCTTTCAGTTTTTCTATATCCTCTTTTTTGATTGGTCCAAGATCTTTCAAAACACAAAAAGCAAATTTAAGTTTCTGCCATAATGAAAATGTTCCAAAAGCTCTTTGTAGTGTGACTTCAACAGCACGATCTCCGAACAGTAATTTACATCCAGGCACTTTTCTAGACTCTTGATATGCTGCTCGAAATTCGCCACCCGGAGCCATACCAAGTTGTTTCGTGATATGGGCTGACATATGTAGAAGTAGAAACGTCATTAAACCTGACACAAGACCTTTTCGTTTGACTTGAGTCAATACTTTATCAAATGACGCATCACCGGCAAGTTTAGACAGTGTTTCCTCGTCATTTATAAGAAGATCAGTGCGGCCACGGCATAACTCAATCATAACGACATCAGGTTGAGCTTGAGATATTACTTTCCGCACATCCTCACAACTTTCTTTACTAAAATGTGCTGTGCCGATCAAATAAACTTTCTGCCCTTTATCACCATGTAAGAGTGACACAGTTGGTGGCAAATCATTATCATCAATAATTCGATGAGCGATTCTATTTTCTGCAGAAAGTTTTCTGAATAGTTCTTCTGCTGTTTCTTCACCAGCTTCATCAGACTCGTCAGAATCCTCTCCATGAGAAGAAAACTCTTCTTCTCTCTCATCTTGTTCTTCATCTTGCATGTCCTCTGATCTGGACTCATCACTGTCAACTTCTACCATGGTAGACTCCATATCATCTTTAATTGATCGTGATCTAACATTTTCCAAAACCATATTTCTTAATTCGTCAGTCGGTGTCTCTTTCACCATAACACCTAAGCTGTCTGTTACGGTGCACTGCGGGATAATATCGCTAGTATCTCCAATGAACGATGCATCACTCTCATCATTTTGATCGTTGGATTTCTGTTCAGTTGCGTTGTCCCCGTCCATTCTGGTATGGTTCAGGATACAAGGATAAATTATTTCTAACTATGAGATAAAGGAAATAGGTGAGGTAAGAAGGTAGAAAAGAGGGGTCAGGTATAGCAGTATAGTTTAGTACCACAGGTAATTTTAGTGGGCGTGGCATGGCCGCATAACCATTTAACGTCACTGCGACATCACAATACATAGAAAGGGAGAGTGATTTCTTGATATTGTATACAACGTAGCTTGCTACTGTGCTAGATTTCGGGTTATTGTCTGCTCGTTTTGGACGACGGGCAATCTGTCAGTGTATATTTTGGCGGGCCTTATCACGTCACTGTGATCGTATTTTTGGATGACATAGTCAGATCGGATGGGGGTCAGGAATGACATAATGCAAAAATTGTTGAGCAACTCCCACTCCCAGTACTTGTGGTACTAAACTATACTAGTCCCGAAAAGCAACCAGTTCCCTAAAATTTTGAAACTCACCCTTGTGCCACTGCATATTAATTTAGCATAAGCTCCATACGCACTCTGCCTTTCTTTTTCAAGCCAATGAATTGGAAATATAAAATCGCATTACTGTTATTTATGCCTATAATTCATATGTCAATCTGTGGATTTCTTCACACAACATATTATTGTCACTTATGGAACTTTTGATTTCCCTGTCATCTTATCTCTTTTATTTTATCTTGTGTAAACACATAAGAAGGTTTAGAACAGATTGGATTAATATACTAAATAATGATATATTTCTGTATTTGGTATGGAATTCTTAACTTTTACTCTTCCCTATTCAAAATTTATTTAAATAATTTCCTAATCTCGATTAGAAATCCATCTCATCTCTAATCAGACATAGTTTTTTTTTGCAATTCGTATATAGAGTTTTTTTCAATATATATGTATACCAAGAGTGTAACATTACAGAACCTGTGTTGTTTATTTGTTCATGTGCTTGTTTTGGGTGGTAACTGACTCAGATGACTGCAAATGGTTGTATCGTTACCACCCAGTCATCTACCGCAGTGGTCGGCAACCACCGGGCCGCGGCCCATTGCCGGTCCGCAGTGAGGTGACACAAAAACGGACTAGGGCTTAATAACACCTCTACAATCTATCCACTAACCCTTCGAATAACAAACATCACCCAACAGACAAACACAACGCATTAGTTATTGCTAAACGAACATCAAGCAATACCCAGATATAAATACAGAAGCTGTACAGGCATTGTTAGCTTTCACAACATTGTTTTTTTTGAGGCCGGGTTTTCAATATTGACAACTACAAAAACGAAATATCGAGGTAGGCGGGATATAAGAAACACGCTAAGTGTATCACTGTCAACCATGTCTCCAAATTGGAAACTGTTAATGGCCAACAAACAAATAGAGATCTCGCATTGCATCACCTTTTTGAGTATATTGTCAACGTAAATTTTCAAACGCGTATACTTTATTACATAAGCTTAGTCCATTTGTATGAAGGTGGTCCGCCAAAATTTTCATCAAGGTATAGACTACGGGTCCATAACATAAGAAAGTTTGCCGACCACTGATCTACCAAAAACCTAATTTTTCCCATTTTGCCATCATATAGACTATATATATTTGATTTATGTGTTTTCTGGTTTCTGGGTTTGAGAAACAATAAATTCTCTCTCTCATATAATTATTAGGCTCAGAATTTGGACTAAATCATGTAAGAATACGGTACTGTGCATGAAAAATATCCTCACCGTTCTGCTTTTGCAGGAAAGGATTTGGGTCTGGTATAGTTTAGTACCACATCCACTTCTAGTTGGCCTGGCTCAACAATTTTTGCATATGGTAATCCTAACCCCCACCTGACTACGTCACCGAAAAATTATGTCATTTCGACGTCACAGTGGCGTAATAAGTATGCGGATGGTCGTCCAAAACTCGCAGACGATAACCCGAAATCGAGCAAGCTATTTCTCTCGTTTTCTTGTCGCAACGATCACTATAGGAGAGAGATCGCCGGCTTTAGCAAGTTCTTATCGGCGGCGCAGATGCCATTTTGGGCGATCGTAATTATACTTTGGCAATCCCTATGACGTGATGGTGACGTCGTAGTGACGTAATTTTTGGATGGCATAGTCAGGTGAGGGTTAGGAATAACATATACAAAAATCGTTATGCTACGCCCACTGGAAGTACTTGTGGTGCTAAACTATACTAGACCCAAGGATTTTACATACAAACTTATTTATCCCAGGTCAGCGGGTAGACTAAAGTCAATAAGACGGCTCAATCATATGACGAACCACGGCCTCTCGTCCGGTTACTAGTCCATGTCGGGTATGGGATTCTGGGGTTAGTTAGCCAGTTATTGTATTCGTCTTCGGAAGCATGGACTTAATGGTGGAGGAATCCGTAAGCGACCAACGGTTACGTGAACAACCCCATGGCAGTAAGAACTGCAGCAATATTCTCACACTTAACCATACCGATACGTTACATCATAGGATTCGAATCTCGAACCCTGCTAGTAATCAGAGGTGTGGTGGTGAGCGTACCGGTATACCGGTACAGGCAGTTCGGTGCCTAACGCTTAGCACGATGCGCTACCGTACACCGCCACATTTTGCTGTTTTGTTGACTAACTAAAGAACCCAGACAGAGCCATTTAATTTCTCCAGATAAAGAACCTTCTCAATAAACTAGCTCTGCACTGTAGCTAGTCTTAATTCCCAATGATTTCATCCCGCCCCTTCTCGAAAAGGCGATGTCGATGCTACAGAGTACAGTTCAGGTTACGGACTTTGCTACAGTTCACAGTTGATACCGTACTGCCACTTGGTGGTTGCGCCGCTCGGTCATGGTCGTGGAGAGTGTGGTCGACAGGACCACGCCATAACAACAGCGTGTCCTATAACCATTGGTGCGATATAAAACTTTTTTTTGTAATCCAACCATATATTTACGATCCAACCCATTAAAAACAGGTTTAGAAAATCGTCAATGCAAAAACATGAAAGAGTTCGCTGTAGGCTTGCACGTAATTTACGGAATTACGGAATTATTTCGAGTTACGGAAGGGAAGTTACGAATTACGTAAAGTCATAATTATTGGTCGAGCGCTTTCGCGATTGAAACGAGCTCTCTTCAAAGCAGTCAATTCCGTCGATTGTAAAAAGTGAAAGTTTAAAAAGTAGAAGAAGTTAGAGCTTCGGTATTTGCAGCCTTTTTTCTCACTTTTCTCTCTCTTGCCAATACGTCACCGTGATAATTAATGTCGAGCTTATCAAACAGCAATATGACGACGGAAGATAAATTGCGTAATGAACCAACGCAACTTCGTCTCTTCGGCATCGGTGAAGCGATTGAGACGGCAGAGAAACAACAATATGACGGGATTTCCCGCGATCCGGTAAAAATCCTTTGCGGACCGTTGATGGTCCGCGGACCGGCGGTTGGGAACCACTGTTTTAGAATACTTAAATCGAATCCAGAATCCTATTGTATTTTTATAGTTACCCGTATTTAAATAGTGGGATTTCTCCACCACAATGCATGATTGAAATTTGAAAAAAAAGCTAAATTGTAGCCTAAATGTTAAATGTATAACTATCTTTGTGCAGTATTTAATTGAAAATGTCCTGATCATTGGATTATATTTAACCAAGGCAACGAGATTTAAGAATTTCGACGATCGTTTTTTGTTTTTAACAGTTCAATATTTTCAATTTAACTACTATCAAATATCAAGTACGAGCCAGTGTGTTTATTCTGTGCGAGACCATTTTCAATTACAAAACCTTGATGTTCTGTTACCGGTTTTATCGTTTCATATCAGTCCGGACTTGTCCTTGCTCAATATATTTTCCACAATGCCCCGCAATATTTCGGCCAAATATGATTAACTGTCTTTACCAAATGCGGCAACTTATTTTGATCCTTGAAAACCACCGACACTCGACCAAATTTGTGTCAATCTTGGCCGATAGGATCATCGACTTGAGTATAATCAAACGAGAGAATACGCTCGTCGTGGCATTGATAAATTGGAAACCCAACATTTTTTTTAATACGATTTAAAAAAAGTCAACTATCGTTTCATAAATATCCGTATACCAGTGTCGGTAATGATAAAATTGATCGCATGAAATTGGGACGGTTAATTTGCGAAGGTGATAAAGGAAATCAAAGCTAGCCCAAAAGATAAAAATCAGAATCAAATTAATTTGAATTGTTATGATAGGTTTGAATGTGTGAAAAAATATCGCAATTACGGGGTCATTACGTAATCGATTTGGCCGTAATTACGGAATTGATTTTTGTCAATTACGTGCAAGCCTAGTTCGCTGATGACCGAGGTATTCCAGGAACGATTTTGCGCGAACCCTCTGACTCCCACCACTGCTTTTATCAATCAATACGTATAATAAGCTTCTCTGAATCATTAAGCTTAATCTCACAAAATACTAGGCCACCTAAAAAGAGTGCAGGGACGTACTTGGAATAGCCACTCCATATAAGCCCCCAAATCTACATGTACACAAAGAAATAAACTAGTCAGAAAAGCTGGCCCAAAATTTTTTTCAATTATTTTAAATTCTATGAAATGAAACTCAACGCTTAGAATTATTTGAATTTACATTTCACACCCAACACAATTTTAATTGCTTCAACCTGATTTAACCAAACATTGCAAACTGATGAAACACAAACATTGCAGCAAGAAACGCTACATAATAAATTTTGGTAAGAGTTGAATATTTAGACCAACGATTCTCAAAGTGGGCGGTGTTGCAAGAACATTTCAGATTTGACGATTTCTAATATCGCTATAATCGTCTTTATTTCAGCAGACGGGATGATGAGATTTCACCTGATCAAAATGTCTTCAAATATTAAAAGAACATGTTTAAACTTATTAAAACACGATGAACCATTATTAGTCTACTGCTGTTAGTTGATTCGGCTATGCAATAAATTTGTTTGAAACTTTACGTTCCATTGTATTGGGGAAGGGGGATGATAATGTTAAAAGTACTGTAAAGGGGCGACAACACAAAAAGTTTTTGAGAACCACTGATTACCTATCGTAAAACTAAACACAGTAATAAGTCAAATACCCACCATTTCACCAACCCAAACACCTTAAGACAGGGGTGTGCAAATCTCTCTCTGAAACATTTAACCATATAACCAAATATAACAACAAAATAAACCAAATAAATTTCAGTGCGACGCTTGAAATTCCGAGTTATCGCATAGTTTGTGAGCGGCTTTTAAAACTTTCGGATTAGGATTTTATGCTTGATGGGGGGAAATTGAGTGTTGATAAGGACCACATTAAAAGCTTGGCGTCACTGGTTTTGGCCCACGAGCCGCCTGTTGCACACCCCAGCATCAAGATAATGAAAACAGACTGTAAATTAATAAAATGACGAATTGATTTAACAAATTAGGTTGTACTCATTAGATTAGTTTTTTAGAGCCGTGAATTAATATGTTTTCTCGATTTATTCATTATATTAGCAATAGTTTATCTGAGTTAAGCAAGATCTATTTCGCAGAGTGCACCTTCTTTGCCGTAATACGTATATGTATCTAAAATAGATACTTCGGGTGTATCTCCAAGTCTACCTGCATACAATAACATTGTAGTTCGGCCAGGTTCTCGTATTTCGGATGTCCTGGGAGCCAATGGTCGAGGTCAGATTGAGTGCCGTCAGTGAGAGTGATGACTCCGATCTGAACAGATTTTGGCGAGATTTAATGTTACATTTTATGAGCAGATTTATTATCTGCAATGTAGCGAAACCGAAGCATTCAAATAATCTCAAAATAATATTTAATTGAATTTCTACATTGTAACATGTACATTTCTTCAAATAAATATCCTATCCTATAAATTTATTTTCAAGTTGTCTTTCTTTTTCATTATATTATGCGTTGCGTTTGCTGTAAAATTTCCCAATAAGTTATGTATTAAAGTCAAAATGTGTTCACCATCGCGACCATTGCATAGTCAATGTTTATAGCAAATGCAGTTATTTTCACATTAAACACATTAAAGTATGATATTTTTTCTGTACCATTGTTTGAGCATTTGTTTTTTATTTGTGACGACAAATAACTGACTGACGGAATTTGTTTATTTCTACACGTAGTAGAATTGAGTGGAATTTATTTTGGGTAATTTTAACTGTTGACATCAAATATCATATTGGAATTCGTGATATGAAATACGTGATATATAACATATATTTTTGCTCCCGAATCCTCGACTATCAAAGGAAAAGGTACTAATATAAGAGTCTTACTGCCGGGTTAAATTCCATTCCTGTATATACGAGTATACTAGATAATTTCCCCTTTGAGAGCACGATGTAAGGTCTGATATAATTTCCTAATGCTTCCATATGTTCCTCAGAGTATATGTTTGCCAATTTCGCGCCTTTTTCGTCGCAAAGAACCTCCGCGATTTCATAGGTAGGGTGTGCATCGTAGTCGAATATGCCAAAGAAGCATTTGTTGTTGTATCTCACTGGACATAAATCTGTATGGTGCAGGAATACAGAGATGACATATAAAAACCTTCAACGAAATGTAGTTCTACTTGACGAGTCATTACTTTGGGTCGAATAAAATGTCGATTGAGTCCTTCAATCGCCATCTTTTTATTCAAGTCGCGTTTCCAACTATAACCAACCCGGCAGTTAATGTTGAAAACTTGAAATTTAAATTATAAATAATAAAAACTAATTGAGTAATTTATCACAGAATTTTTTTTGCCTGTAACAGCGAGTGCAGTCCTAACGGTTAGGACGATGCGATACAGAAATCTACAGATTTTAATGATCATGATTCTACTTGATACGCCAATTTATCGTTACTTGGAAAAGATTCTCTATTCACCATTTCTTCAGGATCAATTCGCGTTTTAACTGCAACCTGATATGCGGCTAATATTGACTACTTAATTTTTAACTGCCAAAATGATTTTTTGTCCTGTTTTTGTATACTCAATAAGTAAACAAACCCCCTTATACCACAACTTCACCAATTACTTACCATGCATTTCGTAAATTTTCGCTTTATTTTCGATGGAATATTGTTTCAAATCCTTGAATTCTTGCAGCAACATTTCCATCTTGTCCGACAAATTTTCTGTAGCCAACAAAATCGAATTCAAATCGGCTTTAGGATCGCCCGAGCTATATACAGTTGTGGCGGACAAAATAAGTATCCCCGATATATATAATATTCTGGCCATATTGGCGTTTTGCGAATTAAACTGTAAAAAAAGTTGAATAATGAATGAATGACTAGACGGTGGATTCAGCTGGTCATATCATCGTCGGGAATGTTAAAACGAGTACAGGATACTGTTGAATCAATTTCAAAGTACCGAATTCGATTCTTAGGGTCAGAGTGTAAACTTCCAAAATTTTAGAGTCTAACTGCGTAACTACAAATCTCGATATGTTCAAGCAATTCTGATAGCTGACATTAACGTGCCGTATTCAATTAATTAATTTATCACACACAGTAACATGGCCATATTCACAGCGGATACGTGAAATACACAAACTATCACAGAAAACTAAAATCTTTCATTTAAAAAGTCGAATATTAGTCGCATTTCTGAATAACTTTAAACAATTCTATAATCTATGAATAATAATATCTTACTCAAAAGTCAAATGTGGCAGACAAGTTCGTCATTGGGTCTAACCTTAAAAACTCTTCATTAACGTAACTCTAGAGGAGAGCAAGATTTCGAAACATCTCTTTGTTCATTCCATCCGTGCGTTCAAGATATATTTCATTGAGAAGTTATAAATAAATTGTGCAAATTTTAATTGTTAAACGTCACTGGCATATGGAACTATCCCACATTTAGCAAGGTGACTGACCTCTTTTTGACCCTATTTTTCAAGGTGAAAATGTTTTAAGTTGTGGCTGTCGTTTTCAATTTTAATGGAAATGGCAATAAACGTTGCGGCGACAATATAGGAACAACCTAATTGTGTGAATATTTCTTCTCAAAAGTGAAAATTGTCAATCGGAGCCGACTCAAAAGCGAAAATATGACTGATCAATAATTTTACCTCGTGCAGTATAAAAAATGCAAGTCGATATTAAAAAGTTAGGAAAATTACCTGTAAAAGAAGTTCCGCTCGAGTCGGAGAAATAAATTTCTATGCTGTATTTATCATATTATCGCTTGAAAACGTTACTCATTTTTCGCATTCGCCGTATTTAACAAAAATAAAACTAATTCATGATGTGTGATAAGTTCTTTATGTGAGGCCCGCGGCAAAACCGAAACATAATTTTGCGGCCCCATAACGCATTGAGTTTAACATAGCTAGCTTACACATTCTTATTTTAGAACTGCAATACAAACTAGAGAGTCGAATATGCCCCACGCATCTCATATATACCAACATTTATTATTCGTTTATCCCCCGAATTATTTGTGGAGTTGGTATAAGGGGGTTCATTATCGGAAATTAGACCCGGGCAGCAGGAAAGCTTGGCACGCCAGTGATTATACTTTTAAAGAATTATATCAAAATGCTCAAAAAAAAAAATTTGTTGTGAAAGTCATAGACGGACATGAAACATGTCCATCCACAATCCATATTTGTAAGATAGAAAGACCATTTGTCTAAATTATTTGCTGCAGATATTGAATAATAAAGAAGATTATTTTACTTTAACTCACCGCTGCAAAGATCTAGAAAGGGTGTCTTCGAACAAAACGTGGTTAAGGCAAATGAAGGCCACTCTTGGAAATGATTATCACCATGTTATCATGGTGGTAGAACACCTTCCCGTGGCCTAAAGCCATTATTATAAATCGCAAAATTTCCCAAACATGGGTCCGCGGACCCCTGGGGGTTTGTGATGACTGCACGGGAGGTCCGCAACGTTATTGAAAAGGTCTGATCGATCTTTAGTGATTGACTTCAATCAAAAAGCCATTGCAATGTTTTGGTTGAGCGTTGTGGACTGATATCCATTGCCGTTAATAAGGGCTAACAAAATGTTAGGTAATTCTATAGTTATGAATAAAATTATCTTCATTTATAAGTCGAATGCAATTGATGAGTTTTTTATTAGGCCAATGCCTAAAAAACTAATTATTATCTGGTATCCATGCTAGAGCAGTATAATTGCCAAATAGGCCATCACACTTTGTTCATTCCGTCCATGCGCTTAAGATACATTTCATCTCAAATCTTATAAATAGACTGTGCAAATATTAATTGTTAAACGTCACTGAAATATGGAACAGTCACACAATGAGTGAGGCGACCTCTTTTTGATCCTAATGCCCAAGGTTTTTAAGTTATGGGGCTGCCGATTTGGTAAAAATCTTTCGCATACTCTGATACAGAATTCCCAAACTCTAAAATTAAACTCTATGTGGTTTACTACAAACCAGGTTTAAATTTTAACTATTCGTATATTGCTCCTTTTTATTTTACTTTAAAAAAATGTCTACGTAAATCAATATCAAAAGTTCACTTTTTGGACACTAAATGGACCAATGAATAGTTTTGTTTTCATGTTATTGATATTTTCATTTTATTGTTGGACACGAAATGGACCTCGGGAGACTGTCCTCCGTTCTGATTTTGCGGACTCGTTGCTTGACACAGATTCAGATTCAGATTTTATTTTCGTCATGCAAAACCAATATACGATATGAAAAAATAAAAAAAGACATATAACAAATTACGAAGACAGATATCGGCTTGTTGCAATAGACGAGGGATCGCGAAAGACTCAAAGAGTCATCCAGTCAGCGACACCTTGTAGCTGCATTGAAGCAGCAAATATAGCAACCGAACAACTCAATATTAAATAGTCACTAAATTCGACACAATCATATATATAAAAGGGACAACAAAAAGAATGCCACAATGACCACGGAAAGTTACCTAAACATTCACTTAATTAGCCTCAATCACAAAAAGGAACAACAAAGTTTGAAAAATAAAATACAGGATGTCATAATAACTATGGAGTATTAGATATTTACCTAATTAAACTCGATCATACAGAGTAAGAACAAAATAAAATCGAAATAAACACCGAAATACTACAATGATCACATCGTATTATATGACTTAACAGCGACATCTGTAAGAAGGATATGCCTCAATGACAACAAAGAATTGCGAAATAATGCTGACTAAGCATACACAGTAAACCAATATGGCGTGCCCAGCAACGGGCTTCTGGCTGCGAGAATCAATACCGTATTTAACGGACACGTTTCCAATGTAGAGGTATGTATAGCTTGGAGACAGGGGAGGATTAAGCTCCTTTGGTGCCTTAAGCCCTGAAGACGTTGGTGCCCCTTGATATGTATAGCTTGGAGGTGTGGTGCATCGTGCTAAGCATTCGATGAGAATACGCTTGCCACCGCCGTAGAGGTGGTTCACGAAACCGGTGGTCGGTCACGGCTTCCTCCACTATCGAGTGCATCCATGATTCCAACCTTACATACCTTCAATCTTAGATCTCAATTGGCGTAACCTCATACCAAATCAATTTTTGACAATTTTCAACTGAGCACCAAATTTTGATGCCTCAGTTAAAGCATAACTCAATCAATTTTACTTGTCCGAGTGCTTGCCATTCTGCTTTTGTACTTTTGCAAGTGTACTGTTGTAAATATTTCTCTCGAGTTTGAGTTGGAAAAATTGTTGGCCTATTTATACAATAGCTTCACCGCTGATTTCTTGTCTCCTGGCCGAAGGTAACAGAATAAAAATCGAAAAAGCGAAAATGTTTTATATTGGCTCTACTAATTTTATGGGTCGTTCATTCATACTAATTATGCTCAAGTCTTTGTACAAGTTTCCATTGATAAGAGAAATACAAGAGTTAGGTGGTACGTACGAAAAAACATTCTATATTCGACTTATTCTAAAAATAGTTTGCATGGTCATTTTTATCCACGTCTTATCGAAGACAATATATCACTTATGTATATATCATTAGGAAGGTCTGTATGAGTGCTACCGCTAGATGTCACCAAAACACTGAAACCAAAGGGTATACCCGATCCCGAGGTATATGAACCTTGATGGCGGACACCGGAACGTAGTATGTGTACCAGGTTAGGGTTGGGTCATAATTTCAGGCACAAATACTACAGAAGTCACTTGGATAGTCCTGGAAATGATTATAATCCCCGATAAAAATTATGGTCTATAGCGACAGGAAAAGAAAAGGGTTTCTAATAACGGACCATCAAAATATTTTGAATTCGACGTTTAGCCTGCGCCAAGCAAAAAAATGGGCTGCGTGTGAAACTATATAGTCCAACCATCCGCTGAAGTTCATAGGTACCCCTGTAGTGTGTGTACCAGGTTAAAGTTAGACAATAATTTTATTCTGATTTTCCTTATTTTAGTTCTGTTAATGGTTTGGGGCTGTCTGTGTTAGCCAAGTGAATATATCCCCTGCTCATATGTTTCAGACTCTTTAGACAACTTGATGTAAAACAGGCGAATACAATTAGTTACCTCCATATTTGTACACATACTTCTGGAGCAACTGCATAAGTTCAATTCTCACCTGTTGTTACCTGAAGTTAATTAGTAGAACTATTTCTCGCTGAATCTCCGCAAGATCAGAAACTAGTGAGAAAAGCTGGCCCCAGATTTATTTAAATTATTTTAAATTCAAAGAAAAGAAAATCGAACGCATAGAATTATTTGAATCCATCCCAAATACCCACCACCAAAAACACACTTTATTGCTCTAACTAAACTAAACTGTTGATAACACTAATATCAGAGCAATCAACGAGGCACAATAAATTTTAGTAAGAGTTGATTATATAGACCAGTGGTTTACAACCGGAGCACCGCTGCACCCCAAGGTCCAGATACAACGGTCAAAGGGGTTTCGCAAGTTTACATTGGAATCTGGGATTCTATATTATTATTATATATGGATATACTGTATTTTTTTTTTTGGAAGACAATTTTGTTTTGCCAGTAATAGGATTGCTTTTATATATATTTATAGTCTATATTATATATAGTCAATTTAGACCAGGGGCGTGCAACATATTTGTCGTTGGGCCATGAAACCAACTCAAACATCTTGTTGGGCCACACAAAACATTTAGCGGGAAAGGAAAAAGAAGAGAATGTGGCTATT